AAACAATCACTCTTACATGCTTGAATTCTCTTCAAGACAAAGTAAGCAGAAATATTATTGTAAGCAACAAGCATTGCCATGATTACAAGTATAGTTGAACATCATTTTAATCAAAATAGCTTGAATCCTCATTAATAGCACAATGGTCATGCTACATATAAGCCAAAACAAAATTCATGGTTGGAATTGGTTTCAAATGTAAAAGAAGGCTGTGGCTAAGGTGAAGTCAGACATTATTACTCTTCATTGCGTATATAAAACAGCGAATTCACCCTGGTCACAGCACTGACATTTTAGCTGGGAATATTTCACTTAAAGGTTCCAACAAACACTTACGTAGTTTCTTACTGTCATCCAGGACAAATTGTAAACCTGAAGCGTTAAATCCAGTTATTACACATCAAACTTACTACCTGTACATTAAAACAAGACAATGAAGACAATGCATAGTACAATCAAACAAACAAACAAGGAAGCTAACGGAATGTTAACAGTTGTACCAACTATGACAAGAGTGAACTCTAGCTACTGAATGAATCTACTCTGCTACAGCACTTCTATGAAAATAAAGCTAAACAACCTACAGAAAACACAAACAAAAACATCAAAACTGGCATTGCCTAAAAATCTATTCCTGCATCATCTGCTTCAAGAAATTTGAAGGGATTTCTTTGAGTTAACCATTCATTCAACTTGCAAACTAAAGGTAAAATATTAAACTAAAATATATCATGTTCATAACAAAATGAGGGTGTTGTTTTGGTGTGTTTTTCTCTAACCAAATTACTAATCAAAAGCAAAGAAAAGCTTCAGATATTTTCTCCCTTAAACTTAAACGCATGAGAGAGACATAAAAGAGAAATACTAGTAGAAAGAGGTAGGTAGATAAGGTTTCAGGGTGACCTTGGTCCTATTAACTAGAAGATAGATAGATCAGAGTTATGTCCCTTTGCAAAAATGTCACAGCTGCATTTGTACTAAGGTTTCATCATAGGAACTTAGTGAATCTTAAGTTCAACTTAGATGATTGATAATTTTGATGGATAACATGGATCTTTGATTGTCAGCAGTTGTTACTTTTTTTCAAACATGAATAGATGACGGTAACAAATAAGGAACCAGTAACAAATATGTATAAATGATTTAGGACATTATCAAATTTAAAATACCTGGTAAATCTATAGCCAAGTGAGTTTTCATATCATAAATATATATGTCATATGCAATTATACACAATACAGTTTGTATTATTCTAGCCTTTCACAAGCATTATACCTACTTTTTATTGCTAATGTATATTCATGACATGGAAACACACATGGATTATTCCCCTTTGTCATCATGATAATGACAGTCTTAAATAAAATGCTTAGGACATGTGGTGTAGGAATACAATGCCTGAGTGAATTGCACCATCTGTTATATAGTGCCAGATGACCTGGAGTTGTGTTGTTGATATGAGGACATGTGAATAAACTTTTGGAGAAAGTTCTGCAACAGCAAGATGGTATCACATCTATGTACTGAGTTTCTATTCTATGCATATTCATCTTACAGGATAACACCAAATGGATACATATTGTATAATAATCAGGTTTATTATATAGGTAGTATTTTTCCTGTACCACGATTGGTCAAAAGACTGTCACATGATTGACTACAAAACACGATATTGACTTGAGTTTTCTGATAAATTACGATATTGACTTGGGTTATTAAAATAGACAAGGAATCCCGTACGAAGGGGCTTCCCCTGCTTTTCAGCCAATCAGATCACTCGGATAGATGGCACAGTGTGTGCATTAAAAGTTTATGTTAAAACCCGTTTCTCTTTCATTATATAATAAAACAATTATAGACTCTTGTAGAGGTCGATATCGGTTTTTATTGATCTGAGAAAAACAATATCGACCTCGCAAGCGGTCTATGCTCGCTCGGTAGATATTGTTTTACTCAGGTCAATAAAAACCAACATCGACCTCTACTAGAGTCTATAATTGTATAATATCACGCCTCAGCTCTGCCATACTTCGACACTTGGTCCATTAACCTCATCAGTCAATACCTAGGCCTACCTATATGTTTTGTATCTCTCTGATGTGTCACTAGCTCTGCTAATGTAACACAAATTCCTGAAAAGGCATTAAAGTATTATTCTATTCTATTCTATTAATACAATCACATGCATGGGAACTTATAGATGAAGGAATTGGTCTCAGTACCCTGTTCCAGCCATATGAGGATCAAAAACAGAGGATCACTGGCTTTATCCACAAGACAGTATGTCAAAAAATGTGACTCCGAAATGCTAAAAAACTACAATACTCAAAGTTCGCAAACCTTGCATGCCTAATTCTAGTCAGTTAATCACTACACTGTCTGCTAATTCAAATATAATTATGTAAATCAATTGAACAGTTAATCATTACCCAGTTTACCAAAGAATAAACACCTCTGTTAAACACACGTTACCAAGTACCTGAGCAGTAGGACGTGGAGCATAGACTCCCTTTAATTTGGACAGTTACAATAATGACAGATTTAATGGATAACAATTTCTTATATTTTGTGATGTTTCAATAAAGAATCTTCTAACAATATCAAGCATGACATCGTATCCAAATTGCATAGATCGATGTTCATGCTGTTGATCCCTGGATTGTCTGGTCCAGACTCGATTATTTACAGACCGCCGCCATATAGCTGGAATATTGCTATGTGCGGCGTAAAACTAAACACACACTCACTCACTCAAGCATGACAATAGTATCAAAACATCATGAAATAAAAGTTGTTGTTATCAGCCGTGATTATAGTACTTCCTAACTTCTAGAATGCCACTGCAAGAAAGTACAATATATGTCCTGTCCTGTGAGCCATCAAACCAACAAGTTGCGGAGTGTGTCTCCTCCTCAACGTTTTTCTGGCACAGATTTGATTATATACAGCCACCATTATATGACTAGCATACTGTAGAAGAAAGCAAGTCTCTCCAGTTTGGTAAACATTTACACTTTATCAAAAGACACCTTATAAAAAGTTAGATTATACAATAATTCACAAAGGTTTTGATATATTGCTGACACTATAATGTAGAAGAGTCTGTGTTGATGAAAACTGTAAAATCAATGGTAAGACTGTGAAAGAGCTCAATACATTCTTACCTCACTGTACAATTCAACAAAAACATCAACAACTTTCAGTAATAACAATGGCAGATCACTACAGAGTTAAAAATCACACGTTAGCGGTACACAACACGCTAGCGTAGCAATGACTTTCCATTACCACAGGCTAATTTGAATATCATGTGACAGGACTTTGTTTGTAAAGAAACCTGTCTATTCTGAAATGAGAGGTGACAGGCCAAACAAAAGCCTTTTTGTGCGCTTTACATATCTTTTTGCATAATTCTATAGATATGCTACTACAACTGCAAAAGAGAAGTGCATGGCAACCATATCTATATACATCACTGCAACAGTATCACCAGATCACACAACAGCATGTGAGCCATGCAGCTAATAAAAGTTTTTCATATTGTAGGATATTTTCGCAAGGAATAGAAGCATTCGATGTGATATGTTTTTCTGAGTGTGTAGATTCATGACAAATGAAAAATGTACAAACAATTTTGAATGTACTGGGTAAGATGTGACCAATCGTCACTGGCCTGTGGCAGAGGTAGTAGGCTTGCCACATGTGTAGGTGTGTATGCATAAACCAGATTATTTATCAAGTCTTGTATAACCATACATCCAAAACATACTCACACTTCCTAAAAGTTAGAACACTATTTTGAATAATTTTCCATAAATTGTAAGAGTAAATTGTTTCAAATTTTTAACCATGTTAGCAAAATATGTTAGAGAATATTTAAGCTGCATACACACACAAATATTTGATGTGTAACATGTCAAGACCAAAACTTGAAAAACTTTGCTGCACATTTGTGAAAACCAATACCAACAACCAAGGGAGGTAACTTGCATCTGCTACCTACAGCAACAGCCTTCTAGTGGAGTAAATGTGTACATAAGGCAGGATTTATAGTGTAAAAGACATCCAAGCACTCCTATACACATTGTTTAATTAGACTGATTCCATATATTTATCAATCAATCATCATTATATTCATCCATCATACATTCATCATGTAACAATAACAAAACTCTTCATGAAATAGCACTACTTTGTACACTTCTCCCATGTTGAATGGTAAATTCATGGATTATGATGGTCTTTAATGGTGTCATGATACATCGTAACATGGATGAATTGTAATACTTGCACCACTAAATCAACATATAGTGTATTTTTATGTATGAGTCATATCATGTAAAGTTAACTTATTTGCATCTATTTGCAAAAAGAAAAAGTCTTTATCTACCACCATGTACTTCCATCCAAAAACATCACTTCAACACCTTCACCTTAATCAAGACAACTTCATACGATCCAACAATTACCCAAGTCTCAGGACTGTAGAAGTAAAAGAGTAACCGACAATGAATCACACAAACATGTTTCACAATAACCTCAAAGATGACCTTGAACTTTGATTGACATAGCGCAAACATTAGAATTGGTAGGACATGGAGAGACACATGCAAACAAAGATTCATACCTGTGGAGATGTAACATGCCTGGAAACTAACAATGATATAACAATACCCTGGAAAGACCAAATGCTGACTTTGACATTTGACTCTTTAGGCCAGGGTTAAACAACCTTAGCGCTAAGACTGTCGTAAGTCTATGTTAAGGTATGGGAGTTATGATCAACTTAGCGTTATGATCGCTTTGTACAATGGCACCCTGATCTTTTCCAACCCATCCAAGAGAAGGTATAAAAAACAAGTTTAATATTAAATTCATAAAATACTTTAAATGAAAATGCATAACTCGAAGTACCTGTCGGAAATCGCGATAAATACACACGATGACTGTAATCACAAACATTTCTGTAAGTTGATTGGTTAGCAAACTGTTCGGGTGAGTTTCTGTTAAATCCTTGATCTTACTAAGAGTCGTAAACAAATGCTAGCAAATCTCTCCAGGGCACTTTTGAAGAACATGGAACAATAATTTCTAATGAGAAACAGTTTGAAAAATCATTGAAGGCAGTGTTGGCAGTCTAATCAAAGTAAAACCTTACAGCAATCAAAGTAAAACCTTACAGCAATCCGATTAGGCTGGTAATTATGGTGATGACAATAGTCTTCTATGGACATGTGATTAGAACTGATGTATTGCTGCGTAATTACAAAAGGCATTTCAGCCAGACCAGCTCCTGTTTCTTGTGACAGTGAGGAGTTACCATCGAATTTGTTAAAATAGAACCACCTGCTTGCTTTAAAACCAAAACAAACTTAACCCAAACACATTTTTCCATGATGATGGAACAAGTTTACTTCTCATCGACAGACATTCTAAAAATATCCTCCCAAACATTGTGATATTTATTTTGAAGCTTCTATACTATTGCCTTTGCAAATAATCTCTGGTCTACCCTGACCCTATTGTTCTTTTTTTCAAACAAAAGGCACTGGCATTTTCTCCTCTAAATTCCCCAAATCACGAAAAAACACTGGTCTGGCCTTCACATATCTACATTGTTTAAAACTTGTAAAACAAGGCAACCTAATTACAACTGTGGAGGTGACCCTGAGATTTCATTCTCTTGACAAGCACCTGCTCCAGCAAAATGAGATCACGCCTTTATTTCTCCAAAGTTCTGCCTCAGCTGCTCAAAGAAGATGAAGGTGAGTACAGTATGGGGTCCCAGTCTTACAAACGCTGGGATGAAGCCCTGTAACAAAAAACACACACATCTAACAGAGGAAGAGAGGTCCTTGCCAACAATAGTTTGACCCTTGCTGCCTTGCTTACAGAGAAAGTGAGTGAGTGAGTGAGTTTAGTTTTACGCCACACTCAGCAATACTCCAGCTATATGGTGGCGGTCTGTAAATAATCGAGTCTGGACCAGACAATCCAGTGATCAACAGCATGAGCATTGATCTGCCCAATTGGGAACCGATGTCATGAGTCAACCAAGTCAGCGAGCCTGACCACCTGATCTCGTTAGTCGCCTCTTACAACAAGCATAGTCACCTTTTGTGGCAAGCATGGGTTGCTGAAGACCTATTCTACCCCGGATCTTCACGGGTCTACAGAGAAAGTGTCCTACCTCTGATGAATACACGAACAATGCTTGTTTTGTCAATATCGGGCATAATGGTGAAATGCGACAGGCAAGAGAGGAGTGTTAGGACTGATTTGTTTACATTAATATAAGACCAAAAAAATATGGACTGTACACATTCATGTTATCACATACTTGTAAAGTAAGTACACATTTGTCTTGAAGATTTCTTACCTTAAAAAATCCTAAAGGTCCAACCTTTCCTATATCAAGGAAACAGGCTAACAAATTCTGAAAGTAAAAATATAAAACTATTCCAGTATTCCCATGGGCACAACATTCAAACAGGGCATCATGGATGTTGTTTTTGATACAATGTACTATAGACATTTTCAGATATAAAAGACATTTGTCTTTTTCTCTCAACTCAATCTGATCCTAAAATTAACATCCCACACAAATATAAAAAATCATATCCTGGTGAACTTTTCAATTCTTACAATATAAGGGCATGAGATACAAGGGACTGAACTGGAAGGTGAAGGTCACATATCCACAAGACATAACACATGACGGTAAACACATGACAAAATCCAAGTAATCAACGATTCTTTTCAGATTCTCTACTGGTATTAATAACTACATTTGAGGGGAAAATGTAAACATTCTTAAAGATTTCTGCTGATCTCCATGTCTCTAACCCTGTTCAGTCAGTTATCAACTTACTTTATACTGGCCCGGGTTTAGCATTCATCATCCTCGTCTTCATCACATCGAGAGGCTGAGTCAAAAACGTTGCTATAGTACCCTGAAGAAAAATCATATACATTGTCAATAACATGTATCATTACACTATATTTCTTTGTTGCCTAACATTGCACTGAGTTTTACCATAGTTGAATGACAGAGGCCTCAAATCATCAAGTCAAGGCCAGACACTCTGGTTATTAATATTGTTAGCAACTCTTCACTTTGAGAAACAATATTTCAAGTCATCAAACCTCACCATCCATATACAGGGCCGTACTTAACTTTTATTAATAAGGGGGGCACCATCCACGTTAAAACAGTGTTATAGCAATAGTTTGATGCACAAAAATTAATCTGTAAAAAGAATACAAGATAAGCTGCCCCCCTGGGCTCCCTACAGCCCTGAATGTAGTCCTAATTCTAATCAGAGCCACAAATAGCTGCAAAACTGCTGATGTGTCATAAAACAATATTCATTCACTCTGACAAACATAGGTCACTGGGATCATTCTAACTTAAGAGACTGACTGACTGACTGAGTTTGGTTTTACGCCGCTTTTAGCAATATTCCAGCAACATCATGGCGGGGGACACCAGAAATGGGCTTCACACATTGTACCCATGTGGGGAATCGAACCCGGGTCTTCGGCGTGACGAGCCAACGCTTTAACCATTAGGCTACCCCACCGCCCCTAAACTTAAGAGAAAATATAGTGACTGTCTAACAGGATGTCAGGATATGGAGTTTAATATGTCAGACAAATGATGAATCTGCATATGTAGAGAAGCCATTTACTACAACACTACAACACTTACTGCCATAACACTACATGTGAAATGTAAGATGAGGTTGTCTTCAAACACTGAAGTGTTCAACAGTATCCCTTTAATCTGATCGTAGCAGGCCAGCTGAAACAAGACACAATACACTCAGTGGGATATGTGATCTCCTGTATGTTACATAACTTGTAACTTGAAACTGATCACATGATAGTGTGGACAATATGCAATTGTAGCATTTTACCTAGGGCTATATATATACACATATGCATATACATACATACACACACACACACACACACACATATATATATATATATAGCTAAGGCCAGACCAATTTTATTTCTTGTTTTACGGATCCGCCAGTCGTATTTTTTCAAGAATAAGAAAAAAATTAAAATTAATTTTCCCGCTCAAAAAATAAAATCCTAATGTTTTTATTGGCCAAAAATGTAAACTTACAAGAAAACTTCTTTTAGATTGTTTTTTTGCCCCATATACACTTCATAAATTCCCAAAAGTAAAATACTTTTAGTATTTAGAAGGAATATTACTTTGACTGTTCATTTTATTTCTATTTTTTTTTCCCTCCTGCCTTTAGGTTTTCTGAGGACAAAAGTTTGTAAAACAAGAATGGGTCTGGCCTAATCAGAAATATTGTTGATAGGAAGAATTATTGACGATTATTTTATGAAAAACTCAAGTCATCAGTATCAGTAAACTATTGTGAGGAAATAAAGTTAAAATTTACACACAATACACAAAGTTACATCGCTATTCATCGTCCGTTTCTAAATATGCTCAGAACACTGTTTTTAATTCATGCACATATGTTTCACCAGTCATCAGCGACGTGAAATATGTTGGTTTTATGTTACTTCTCTTGTTAATTTTTGCTCAAATTACTTGTCCAATAATTATTGACAACTGATCAATATTTAGCCAGTCCTAATGTTACCACCATTATCAAGAAGAGGTAATTACAACTGTAATATAATAAGGAAACTGATCATACACATTATCTTGTCATTAATAACAGATCAATCTTAAAATTCAAACACTTTGTAACTTATGTTACTCATGATGAACAAGTCTTCTTGAAGAATAACTCATATAAGAGTGAGTGAGTGAGTAAGTTGAGTTTTATGCTGCTTTTAGCAATATTCTAGCAATATCAGGGTGGGGAACACCAGAAATGGGCTTCACACATTGAATAACCCAGTGGGGAATGAGTTTTATGCTGCTTTTAGCATTCTAGCAATATCACGCAGCGGGCAAACACTTTAACCACTGGACTGCCCCACAGCCAAACTCATAGGAGAAGGTGAGTGAGTTGGCTATAACTATGTTTCCAACAGTATTCTAGGCAGCACATCAGTGGAAGAAAGCCTGAGGAGAGGCAGTTCTCCACTTACGTGAACCCACAAGCATGGGCATGGTGCTGACAAACCGACAAACATTTAAAAATTTAGAAAAAACTTCAAACCCATGAACCCAAATTTCTAGCTTGCCTAAATGGATGTAACTCTGCACAAGTACTTATGAGCCCAAGACAAGTACCCAGAATAAGTATCCAGAAGTAAAATATAATTATAGTAGTGGTAACGTTAAGCCTATGAACAAATTATTTTTCATAAGGTGCTCTTACCTGCCCGACAGTAACAAAGATGGCCCTGGAACTGGCCATGGATGCCCCTGAAAACAGTTTCAAAACACCCTCATGTCGAAACACACGATACAGTCCATCTATGGCATGCTTGTAGCTGAAACACAAACAATCTGTGAATGCAAATACATCATTTCCTTATTCTGAATCAAAATTGTGTTGCAAGAAGTACTACATCCATATCAAAGCAACATACGCAATGGGCAACAGTGTCCAATGAGACAATCATGCATTAACCACCTGATTAGTCCATAAACTGACTGACTGACTGAGCTTTTAGCAATATTCCAGCAATATCACGGCGGGGACACCAGAAATGGGCTTCACTCAATTGTACCCCACCTGACTTTCGACTTCTTAGCTTTTCAGAATCACCCATAGAAACTAGTCCATGAAAAACAGCTCTACCAACACACAGGGCTGTCTGGGGCATTTTCAAGAATCACCAGATAATGGAATACTCTGTAACTTTTAGTCTTTTATACAGACCCTGAAACAAATATATCCAATATAGCCTATGCAAGTCTACAATGTGTCTACAATAAATCTAAACTACCACAGTTTCTGCAAATGAAGTCTCTGGATCCCTTTCTATGATATTTATGATGGTAATTTACGAACTGTTTTTCCTGTATATTCACAAGATGTTAGTCTATGTAACCATCAGAGCCAGTCATTGTCAGAATGTCAGTATGTTTTACGCCGAAACAATTTGGGAGAACCCATATGCCACATGCACCAAGCAAACACACTGATACTGGTGAGTTGCCTCCCTTTAAGTATAATGACACAATTCCTTTCAGAAAGTGATCAAGTTAACATGTCATATTTGGGGTTACACATTCTTATACTTTTAGTAGTTGAGTCCTATCTGTGATTTGAACACAAACTCAGCGATTTAACCCATTCAGCCATCAAGGCTTAAAAAGATCACATATACTCTAGGGGTACAAATACATAAATCACTAATTGGCATCGTTATAAATGAAACCCCCTCATTAAAACTACTCACTTCGGTCTTTAATTAACTTAAATCGACCTTTTGACAACAGTGCACAATTCTCACCCTTGAATGAAATTTCAACCAATCAGAGTGGGAAGTCTCTGTGACGTCATATGAGGAATAGCTATGAGGGCCGATGCAGAATTCATGTACATTTCAGGGGTAAATTATCGTGTTTACAGGTTTGTATAAACTGAAATCGTGACAACTGTTGTGGAAAATGAAAGCTATATGTTCTCACAATCTACTGTCATTTAATTTTGTCTCCTGCTTTGCCTAGTTTCGAGTTACAACTTGTTTTCATAGACGATTCTGTCAAAATCGCTTGGTGTCGTTAGGCCTTATTTGTATAATGACTGATCCAAATTGATCCTATTTCTGTGTTTTTTTACCTCGATATTTAATCATGTCATGTAAAAATCTGTTTGTATTTTCAAAACAGTGTCAGCCCATAAGTTTTCACATGCAATACAGTAATTAATACTCCCTTGTTGTAACCCGTGTTAGGTGGTATAACCTACACATGTTATTTGTCATCATTCACTTGATGGTCAGTTAATGAATTTATAACAGGTATAATTAGTGGTAACACACTTAGATTACCCGACAAAGGTTCCCATTTGGCATTTCTTGTGTCTGGAGTAAATATTCAACATTATAAACATCGATCAAAGGATTAACCGATAACACGCTGATTGATTAATTACTTTTATTTTACACAGCAGATTTGTCAAAAGGTAGTGTTTATGTATGTAGATTTACTAGTCTATACTGAATACACTCTGTCGTGTAATGGGTGTCTGTGTAAAACAACGTCCTTCTTTCAAAGGATTAACCGGCAATACATTGATTGATTGCCCATTATTGGCTAACTAAATTACTGTTTTTAAAGAAAGGCGGACATTATGCAATTAGTTGCCAGGTGTGCTATCTTGGGTGACCAATGAGACTATACACCAATGTGAAATACCTGAAAAGATTTATCACTTTTTCGTATATTAAACTGTTAAAAGACACATCACTTGGAACAGCTGCAGATGAATGGCATATCACTCGTTTTTGTGGATATTGATGGATACATTCCTCGAACAAGGTAATAGCCTGACATTGTTCCTATAACTTTAATCTGTTTTAATTTTAATATTTGCATTTTGTTTTTATTCATTTGTCGTAGCATTCAACAGAATCATTGTTTTCGCCCGTGAAGTGTAATGAGACAGACAACTTACACTAGGGTGTGTGTGCGAATTATGATTCACATTGGCAAACTATAAAATGTCTAGATATTACAGTTCTGTTATAAATTCACTATAAGTATCAGCAGATAGTCTGCTTTTTAATTTGTTTCAAAATGCATACAAGTATGATAATAAACTAATTAGGATTATAAGACCACATATAAAGACGTGCATTGACTAGTATCTACATACTGGTGAGTGGACGTTAACCAAATGAATGTAGCAAGAAATATATCGCGCAGTATTGTCACTTCGACCCCAACCTCGCCTTCCGTGGAAGAAATCGTTATGTTATAAGTTGTCTCATGCAAACTCCTTTTGGTTATGATGCAAATACATATTTAACTTCTTAGTAGAAAGTAGTTTTGATTTTCAAACTTGATGAAAACAAACCATAATCTCATTAATTCTAACAGACTTTAGCCTGTCACTTTACGATTTTCAAAATGGCGTAGCCCTGTCGCTTAACATACGCCAGTCTGAGGATAAATGCTACTTAGGTTTGTTTTCACCGAAGTTACAAAATCCAAACTACTTTCTACTAGTAGTAAAATATGTATTTGATTGATGGCCAATAGGATTTTGCATGACATAGCTTATAACATAACAATTTCTCGTGGAAGCGAGGTGGGTGTCAATATAATACTACTTACAATATTATTGTTACTTCGACCACAACCTCACTTCGAGGAAGAAATCGTAATGTTACAAGTTGCGTCATGGAAAATCTTTATGGTCATCAATCATATACATATTTTACTACAACTAGTAAGTAGTTTTGATTCTTTAACTTCCGTGAAGCCGATCTGAACACAAGTAAGATATCGCTTCAGGCTTCCACAACAGCGCCGCCGCACTCACAAACATAACCCATTTCGCAACGAACTGCGCGGGTCCTGTGGAAATCTGTGCATGGTGACCCCATCACCTGACCCCTAGGAGCAATTGACGACAAACAACGATTTGGCATGTCGCCGTTGATGTCGAGAAATCATCAAAATGATGAGCGTGCTAAACACTTTCTATACAACTAACTGAAAATCGTTCCTCATATGACGTCACTGCAGTGCTCTGGCGACAGAGTTACGTAACCTGTCTGTGGTTTCGTTGGCGGTGAGAGTGAAACAGGCTACTTTTTGGCAACTTTTAATCGCTTCGGTATTAATTAACCACAAGTTTTAAGAATGAATTTGGTGTTCCGCATAAGTCTAACCACAAATCTTTCATATGTAATAGTTAAAAGAGTTTGTTCTTTAAAAGATTCGAGAGTTCGACAACTGGTAGTCTAGTCTTTATGAACCCCCCTGTGTAAATTGGCATGGTTTCCAGGCCTGAAAGCTATGAATAAAAAATGCCTTTTAGAAAAAGGTCAAGTTTTTACATATACATATGAACTTTAACACTATTAACACATTAACAGGATATAAGGCACTCTGGCAGGACAATTGATTTGTACCGGTAAATTGTTTTCAATTAAACATATTTTATTCACAAGGAAAATGGACTGAGCACAAGTTTTCACAACTCAGGTAGCCTTCTCCCAAAAACATTGACATGATCGTCTTTTTACATCACAATTGACATATATACAAAAGACATACAAAGAGTGTAGACAAAGAGAACATACAGAGATCTGTTACAGGAAACAGATTTTTACATTAATTTAAATATTTTAATCTGACTAAACTATAAATGGACAATGTGATGCAACTGCACATTTCTAATGAAGTTGTGACCAAATTAGTTTCACTAACACAAGACACACAGCTGAAATGTCAATTTCACAAAATGAATATGTGTACAATAAAATCTGACTACACTGCAATGGCATGAAGCAGGTGTCCGTTCAATGACATCCACAAGCTGTCACATGCTGCTCATTAAGCTTCCAGACAAACCATGGACATGAATGACCAGTCTATTAGAGAGTGCCATTGAGTCAACTAACAAAAGGGCAAATTGAACAACCAATTAAAACATAAGCAGAGAAGAAGAAACAAAACCCAATATAATGTTTCCTCAATCTATATACTTGTGTAAAAATAACAAATTACATTTAATACTAGAGATATATCCCTTTTTACAGTATTGTATGTACTGTCAGATGGATTTGCCTATATTTAGGGGGGTTGGGGAAGGGTTAGTTGAGCATGGGGTTGGGTTGTCATTCTTTGTGGTTATCTACATGCTCAGAACAATTTCCCCTAATGGCTGTTGACCTGAACAATATCAATTTGGTCATATCTGTGAAGTTGTCGAACACAGCGACCAATTCTGCATCACATGGACTTTCCGCTTGGTCAGTCAGTTGCTTTGATGACAGGTGGAGGTTAATTAGCTCTATGTTGTGGTTGACCCTATGACCCCTTTTGTCCTGTTGACCAGAGTCCCATTGTGAACATTGTAAGGGGGAACCATTAAGACTGATTGAGATGGAAAGGTTTACACATACTCCAGTGAGTGAGTGAGTAAACATACAATTACTGGTACATGTGTATCATGTGGAATTGTTTCAATTATTGGAATTCCTGTATGAGAGAGTTTTGTAACATCCGTATGACATATACACTTTGACACTTATATCATGTCCATTTACAGTTCTTGTGACCCATGAAGATCCGGGTTAGAATTGATCTTCAGTAGTCCATTGCTTGTCATAAGAGGCGACTAATGGGATCGGGGTCAGACTCGCTGTCTTGGTTGACACATGTCATCAGTTCCCTATTGCACTGAACGATGCTCACGGTGTTTATCACTGGATTGTCTGGTCCAGACTCTATTATTTACAAACCACCTCCATATAGCTGGAATATTGCTGAGTGCGGCATTAAACAACAAACCAAACCGAACCTGTACGAGAGCGTTTTGTAACATCTGTATGACATATACACTTTGACACTTATGTCCATTTACAGTTCTTGTGAACTAAGAAAACAAAATCATCTGAACCAAATATGCATCGTGGAGGACCTAGCATGCATGCAGTGAACAAAATAAAAAAATTAATTCTGAAAAGCAAAATATAAATATTTGTGGATGAATGTTTGCATCAAAATAGTAACAGTAGATGTAACAAGATACTTACTTTCTCCTTTGTTCAGGGGGCAGTTTGATGTCATTCTGCATTCTGAAAAAAGATCTTCTGCAATCAGTGGCAACCAACAAATAACATACATCTACTGCACACCAGTCAAATCAAGTCAGTTCTGGGATCTTTTCCACAAACTCATCTTGATGCCAAGACGATAGTAGCTCCCATGCGGTGCGGTGAGGTGAGGTGAGGTGGTGTGAGGTGAGGTGGTGAGGTGAGGTGAGGTGAGGTGAGGTGAAATTGGGTTTTACATCATGCTTGAGAATATTTCGCTCATATGACGATGTGCATGCATGTGTATGTGTATGTGCGGCTGCTTGTACTAGCCCAGACTAAAGCTGGTTTTATAGTGCTAGCTCACTGAGATACCATGCCGCAGTGAAGCATGAATACCCCACTCAGACACATTATACTGACTCCGAGCCAACCAGTCCCTGTTGTACCCATTAATGCCGAGCGCCAGGCAGGGACCAACAAGTACCATATTTTAACGTCTTTTTGGTATGACGCAGTCGGGGATCGAACCCGCGACCTTCCGCTCTCCGGGCGGACGCTCTAACCACTACACCACGGAGGCGGTCAATACCTGCTGGTAAACATATTCCTACATCAGTTGTAGACCTAAGATCACTTCTCATAAAGAGGCCAAGCATCAGACCAATTAACCTCGGCATCGTTCCACAAAGTGATCCTAGCAGTTACAACCATCGTAAGTCTATGTTAAAGTAAAGAAGATACAATCACCTCAGCATACATGATTGCTTTGTGGAAAGGGGCCCTGGCTGGTTCCATTTCAGAGCCACCATTGTTTCATATATTCCTAAAACCGAATCTTCTTGTGTCTGTGTTTCATTTTAAAGAAATAAACCATTAAATGTTTTTATGCTTTTCTTTAAAATCAACCTAAAACTCATTTAACTATACATGTACACTAAGTTACGGTCATTGTAAGTTTAGATACAATCTCACCATTGGGAGCGTTCCGTCAACCTGGACTAATTAACTTTAACCTGGTCATGTCGAAATATATACATTTTGCCTCCAAGATTATAAAACTAATAACATATCGTTCTGGCCTAATTTTTTCTTTAACTGATCAGGTTTGAAAAATTGTAAGTCAGAACAGAATCTAAAGAAATAGGAGCAATATTGAAGAATTGTCATACCTGACATTGACCATATCTGCCGGTGTCCCCACAAACCCCCCTGTTGCTCCGGAAACTGATGCTACTAGGATTTTCTGATAAAACGGCATTGTCTTGCCGTCCGCTGCCAGCCTCTTCTTCACTGTTTCGTACAAGGCAAACCTTGTCATGGAATAGGTCAACTGCAAACAGGACAACTTAAAGTCATGAACAGTGCAGACAAGACAATATGTCCTGAATATCATCTTCATAAAATTAAAATCTTTCAGCTAAAAATTGTCAGAATTTTGACAATGAGTAAGAATATATGTTCCATCAATTATACAGGCAGCAACTAGCTAAGAGACTAGCTAGATTAACACCTGGTCTCAAAATAAATATAATTTGGATAGAAACACACAATTCCTTTATATTGAGAAGGAGCCCGAGTGAGAAGGGAGATTCAGAACCTGAGGAAATCTAGACTTGCTTCATTTAGGGCTTTAGCATTGCAGGGGGCGCGGGGCAGTAGGTAACATAATGCAGTTCAGGGACTGTGAAACAGACTAGCCACTAGACTAGCCACTAGACTGAAGTCAGAGTCTGGAAACATTTCTTCTAGTCCAGTAAAGACCAGCTGACTGACTGACTGACTGAGTTTAGTTTTACGCCGCTTTTAGCAATATTCCAGCAATATCACGACGGGGGACACCAGAAATGGGCTTAACACATTGTGCCCATGTGGGGAATCGAACCCGGGTCTTCGGCGTGACGAGCCAACGCTTTAACCACTAGGCTACCCCACTGCCCCAAAGACCAGCTGATGGCTGTAGATATGCTGAGAGTAAACTCTACTGAATATAATGAAAAATACATGCTGGGGCTAGTAGAGTGAGAGTATTTAGCACAGATTGCATCTATGTGTAAATTCCTGCAGAAATGCATACCTGTCTGAGCACGGAGGCAGAGAGTCCATTGTAAAGTCCAAACACCCCATCAGACTTGACCACCCTCACAGCCATCTTTACCAGACCAATCCGCTCCTTCTGTTGTGTCTGACGGTGAACCTACAAACACAAATACCACATTAACAAGTCATTGTTGAGCTTATTCTTTTCCAGGCGTACAATTTTCAATTCTGAATTACTGTTTCCAAGCTCATTATGTCTATCTGATATTTCAGGGTTTGAAGAGAATGACATTAAACAACATATCACTTTACCATGGGGCTATTTTGTAAGGCCTGATTATCATGGAGATCATGGAGATCAATAACCGTTAACAAAATATCGATCGATTATCGACAAATATTCGAGAAATAACTTTCAGCAAAAACTCAAAAAATGTCTGACAAAAATGAATATATTTTACACCACTGGGGAGCAGTGACATGTTTATACACATGGATTACAAACAAAACAGCGTCATGAACATAATTTAGATATCACATCGATAATCGTTAATAATTTTCCCTTTTGACGATATGTCTGATAATCAATCTTTTAGCCAGCCCTCACATTCTGGCATTTTGGTGTTGCAATTTTGACTAGGTTGTCAACGGTTAGGTCATTTTGACCTAGTCTTGTCATGGTGACTTTTCAGAAATGAGTCTCCATTCCATTATCAGGGTCACCTTTCTACCTTATTTTAGGGCTGAAATACAACAAGCATTGTCACTAAGGTGACATAATCCCCCTGCCGCAAATTATCGTATCAGACATAAAAGTAATGAAAGTTTAAGATGAAGTTAAAAGTCAACAAAAACATGACCAGTCAACCTCTCTTGATATCTTGCTCTGTAGTTGTTCAAACAAACAAATATTTTCAAGACTGACTTTGACCTTGACATGAATGTCATAGTGTATGAAATGTGCAAAAGTGGTACTAAAGAAAATGCTTATTGAAAAACATTCAAGGGAAGTCTTGAAAATCTATGAAGAAAATCCAGTGAATTCAGGTAAACATGCTGAAATCTGCTGAAGTGTCGCAGTGACCTTGAAAACTATGTGAAGGTCAACAAAATTGACTTGGCCCTGTGCCTTCATTAGATGAAGCTTGGTGTCAAATATGAAAAAAATCCAGTGAATAGTTTTTGCGATATCTTGCTGACTATGATAACATGCAACTTAACATGCTGAAATCTTCAAAGTGTCTTTGTGACCTTGAAAATTAAGTGAAGGTCACCAAAATCGACTGGGCCTTGCACTTTCCCTAGATGAAGCTTGGTGTCAAATATGAAGAAAGCCCAGTGAATGGTTCTTGTCTTGTTCTTGTCTATGAAAAGAATCTATTCAACGGTTCTTGAGGTATCTCGCTGACAAGCATAACATTAGTGTTGGGAATCGGAAACCAAATCCACTATCGATTATCGGAGGACTTGTGGTGAACGATTATCGATTATAATCGAAATATATACATTTTTAATGTAATCACCAATTTTAAGGGTTTTTCCTCAGGTTTTTTCTAATTAATGTTTTTATAACCAATACTGACATGCAATGAAATGCACACATGCAAGTAAGACACTGGAATTGTAATTAAACAATAAAAGTGGTTAAAATTTACAATGCGCATAGCTTTACGCTGTTGAGCGCATGTTTGTAAGTAAATATTCATCAAATTAAATGGTTAGTATACTTAATTCAAGGGTGTTATACAAAAACAACAACAAAATTCCGATTAATCAAAATATTTTTTTTACAATCGATAATCATTTTTAATCCTTCTTTCGATCGATTTTCTATTTTTTTCGATCATCGGAACACCACTACATAACATGCAGGTTAACGTGCTGAAATCTTCAAAGTGTCATCATGACCTTGAAAATTAAGTGAAGGTCACCAAAATCGACTGGGCCCTGTGCCTTCCCTAGATAAAGCTTGATGTCAAATATGAAGTAAATCCAGTGAATGGTTCTTGAGGTATCTCGCTGACAAGCATAACATGCAGGTTAATATGCTGAAATCTTCAAAGTGTCGCCATGACCTTGAAAATTAAGTGATGGTCACCAAAATCGAATGGCCCTGCGCCTTCCCTAGATAAAGCTTGGTGTTGAATATGAAGAAAATCTAGTGAACGGTTCTTGAGATATCTCGCTGACAGGAGTAAAACGTGTCCCCTTGTGACTTTGAAATGAAGGTCAAGGTCACCAAACCTGACTGGGACCTTTCTTATACTGTGATGAACCTAGGTACCAAATATGAAAAGAATCTAGTCAACAATCTTAAAATATTCCAATTCGATACGAACGGACGGATGGAGCCTAATACTATATCTGATCAACTATGAACTTAATAAAGTTATCAAGAATTTTAAGAACTAGTAGACCATATATGACTTGAAATAGACAATTTATTTTTTAAAAAAAGGATGTACTTTGACTCAGGCACCCATAGATCCAATACACTTTTCAAAAACTATTACTAGTACTAAGGAATATAAACAGCTTCGGAGTTTAGCATCAAACATTTTCAAAGGATAAAAAGTAAATGCAAATTTAAAGCTCACTAACATACAATTTAGCATAGGCTACAAGGAAATGAAAAAACTTATGTATGCGAAAAATGTTATCTTCTTTTTACAGCAGGAAATAAATATAAAATGCAAATCATCTCTATGCACATGCAGATCTGTCCAATCTAATATTGTATTTTCGCCACACTAACTTGAGCATAGAGTGTACATATGACATAATATTGCTTTTACATATTGTATTTTTGCCACACTAACTAGAGCATAGATTCTACATATGACATATAATATTGTGAAAAAAAACCCTTTAAATCAATCTCATGGAAATTAAACCTTTTTGCGACCTCCAAACCCAAATCACAGGAAATCAAACTAGAGATCATGTTGGAACAAGTTGTTTGATCGGCATTCTAGAAGTTGGTGACTCAAAAATGAAACATACATGTTTCATGTTAGAACAACTATTAAACTGAGCCCCCAAGAATAGCCCTCTCTGGATCTGTGTATCTGTGTATGCCATTAACTTGTCATTGCTTTCTCCCTCTGAACCAAACTACATGTGGGGTCATAGCCTGTCTCACAGTCCCTGAACCACATTATTTTCCCTACTGCCAAGCCCTCTCTTCAGTGCTAAAGCCCTAAATAAAGCAAGTCTAGATTTCCTCAGGTTCTGAATCTCTGGTCTCCCTAGGGCTCCTTTTTAATTTGAATGGGTTTGTTTGTTACTATCAAAATTATATATATTCAGAGACTACGCATTAGTCTAGTGGGGTCACTGTCTTGGGGAGGTCATGTGAGGCTACCGGTACTACTGCCAGCTCTAACTGCCAGTGGTGGTGAGACACAGGTCATGGGAAGTTATTCTTGACTGTTAGAGGGTCCTGATGGGGGCGCCAAGTCACTTATCAGTAAATTATGGTCATAGTCAGTAATCGTCTTTTTTTCAGCTAGGTTAAAAAAACAATGTGACCAGCAGACAAGCTGTCAAGTTGAATCTAAAATGCAAATCATCTCTATGCACATGCAGATCTGTCCACTCGAGACAGCTGGACCACAGTGGCTCTGCTTTAAATTCAGGACTGCAATTCCTGTTTTGCAAACACCAAAAACACTGTCTAGTTACACATGACATTTACAGGATTTCTTGCAAAAATTACAATAAACAGTAGAGTATTTATTTACATTAAGAAGTTTCTGTAGACATTTCAGGTTAAACTTTTGTCAGAAAACTTTTGATCATCTTGAATTTATGAGCCTTATATTGATGCCGTTTTACACAACAGTATGCCCCATCAGGACGCCGCAACATCCCACTGTGTGATGATGGTAACACTATAATATGTAGAGCAAAGGTTCAGTGCTGGTGATACTGGAACTGTTTGAAGGTTGTTTATACTGCACTCAGCTATATCACAGCTGCGTCATGGCTGCCTGTGAATAATTAGCAATATCGCCGCTACATCATGCCAGCCTGTCTCTCCATATTGAAACACAAGAATTACCCTTGGCTAATGCTCTGAGCCTATAACAAATGTTGCACACTGCGTATCAATCAGTTAACCATGTTAATACAGTGTACATCAATGTCAGTCATCAATGATACAGATAGGTGTTATAGGGTTTAAACTGATGTTAAACAATATTGTATTTGTATTAAATTGTTTCTGTTAAAATTCAATAAAAGTTTATAAAATTGTGTTGTGGTAAGATTGAAAAAATAATAATATCACTTAATCGTGATACTGTTTGGAAATCCTATTCCAGTTTCACAAGTGGAACATTTATTTCCATAAAATAATTCTCCGCAATATATATTGAGAAGACTGTCTTTTTAAGTGAGTGAGTGAGTGAGGTTTTAGGCAGCTTTTAGCAATGGGCCTACTTGCCCAAGCACATTTTGTACTTTTAATGATCAGTCAATCACCAAAATCCAGTAATATCACAACAGGGGACACCAGAATTGGGCTTCACACAATGTACCCATTTGAGGAATCAAACCCAGGTCAAGCACACACTTTACTTTAACCATTAGGCTACCCCACCTGCCCTTGTGTTTAAAAATTATAACAACAGAGTCGTGGCCATTCTACATCTGGTCAGCTTTAAGCTCCATAACGGTAAAGTGTGAAATGTGTGACACTTCCTAACAATGTTGTCTAATTGTCATGGCTGTACAAACAGTTGAATAACCCTATACAAGACCTAAAATCTCTTCTTAAATATTACTCCAAGTTACACAGCATTGTATAATGCTGTATACACCACAGAGGCTATTAATAGTTCATTCATTACACACTATTATATATCCTCCTTATACCCTCAAAGATATTTAGAATTGCGTTTTCATTAGCCCTTCTGAAGGTTTATCAGAAAAATTGCTATATTTCAGTGTCTATATGTTTATAATCCATTGTTTTATATTTTTCATTTATCCAAATCACAGGTGATCCACAATGACATAACCTGAATATAACATTGCACAGGAATATATTCAGGATTCTAAACTGAGTGCACTTGTCTCAAACTGGTCACTGAAATACAAGTAGCTTTTACAAAGACCATAGACCTAACATAACATATAAACATGTATGGGGACATTTGTAACAGCTTTTATTAGCTATTAATTGAATTATTATATAGTTTTCCACTCATCCACATGTTCAATGTTTCATTATTGTGCAATAATGTCGCATGCAGTTATCTAATGATCTAACATTGTATGTATTATGTGTTATTATATTTATTGCATATATGTGTTAAACCACTTCATTGTCTACTCTAATTGAAATACTACAATAATTCAAAATCCTATTTGGTATGGCAATCACATATTCATATGTACCTTTACAGGTATATGGGTCGACGTGATAAGAATATATAACATTCTGAGGTGCTATTTCTGTCAAACGACCTCAAAGTTAATGTGTGCTGACCTGTATAAAACACGCGTATCATTTCTGATAGAATTTCAGCTAACATGTGACAAATAACTAACTTTCCCATGCTTATATGTTGCAATTGGTTTTTGGTCATTTTTTTAAAAAAGTCAGCTTACGCGGACAATTTCAGACAAATATAATATTTTTTAAACGCATAAGGAGATGCGGAAGAGTCGAAACTAAATTTTCTGTATTTGCGTATAGAATTTTATATATATACAACCGGTTTAAGCAGAGTAGCATTTGAACACCTGTCGACAATGTTATTCTCTCACCTTCAATAAATCTAGCGGGTGGGTGCAACAGGCTGCACCTGCACTGGCAAACCCCCCAAAATACCATCTCCCCAGCCTCTGCTTTGTGTCAGCCATTCTAGTGTTCTACACTTGAAGATGTGTCCCTCCTCCGCTGGGGATATCTCTGTGTTTCCTTTTCACAACTGTGTTTCCGCGTTTCCCTGCAAAATGTGGACTTCCTCCCAAACCACGAGGATTAGTCTATGCCTGTACGGTGTCCATTGAACTGACGTATACGTGATAGCACCAGATCCGACTCACGTTTGTTTTTATGTCAGGTCAAGGGCAATATTGTGTTGAGGTTGGCAGGCAGTGAAATTAGAGTTACCCACCCTTTGCATCGTCTGCGTCTTCTTTGAATCGACCATGCAGTCAGCTGGATCTGCCAATATCATTTCCATGCTCCACCCCTTTTTCCATTCGTATATGAAGAATATGTTATAAACAGAGACCATTGCATGTTAACGGGTGTTTTCGGCGTGTAAGCTTATGAGTTATGAGGAGTACATGTGTACATGAGTTAATTTGTTACACTACCTTGCTAATTAATAGGTGTGGCGATTGCGAGGGGAGGGTGTTATTTCACACCACAGCAACACTACACATGTATATCTCACTGGTTCTTGACTGGCATTTGATATATCAAATAACACACAGTAACAGTCGTAAATCGCAACAAGTGCGCTTTAATAGAATTTAATGCCTTTCCACTTTATTTGCTTACAATAAGTTATACATAACTTGTAAACGCTTCGTAGAGATTTCGTGTTGTATCTGAAGATATCTTTTAGGGCCCTTGGGCATTCTGTTTGTCTTTCGGACGATATGCAAAAAATACATATAATATAAAAGCCACATGATTGCTGTAAGTAAACAAGCGACATGCTTAATTTTACCGTAACATTTCTGTAATTTATTTCGTATACTAACATGAGAAATAGCACATTAAATCATTACGTCATGTTTCTTTGAATGACGTCAAATTCGACTTATTTATTCGGCATTTCTTTTTCAAAACGTAAGTCGTTTTAACTTTGGAAAACACGGACTTGAATCGTAATCAATCATTGTACGGAAAAGAATACTGTTTCCTGACACTCATAATGTGCCAAAAACTATTTGCAAGAAATTGTTGTCCAAAACTTGTATTGCAGTACAGTTTTTTGTCCGAATTAAATCTAGATCTTGGTTTAACTGTGTCAGCTGTACATAGCGATATATATTCCTGTAAGTCGTTCATATTATCTCCATTAAGTGAGTGAGTGAGTTTGGTTTTACGCAGCTTTTAGCAATATTCCAGCAATATCACGGCGGGGGACACCAGAAATGGGCTTCACACATTGTACCCATGTGGGGAATCGAACCCGGGTCTTCGGCGTGACGAGCGAACGCTTTAACCATTAGGCTACCCCACCGCCCCTCTGCATTAATATTATACATTAGAGTTAAAGTGTTTTCTTCATTTTAACTTAAGCCTAAAGCCGTAAAGTTAAGTTAATTCAACAAATACAGTCTGAGCCTTATTCCACTGCAGTAAATAGTTCAGTGGGTATAGAAAAACATTTAAAATGAACATCTTCTGAAGGCAAACGTTTTTATTTTCTTCTGTTTTTTCCCCAGTAAATGAAATGGTCGATGTAATATTGATTGAAGCGCTAGTAAAATTGTAGATGTCGTAAAGTGGAGATTTTTTAACGAATTACATTTATACAAAAACAATAGTTATACAAGGATCCATAGTTGAATTCGCTTGTCTCATGTTTAATTATTGATAGCCATAGCAATTCTCTCATGTCGTAAAATGCAAACCGGAAACAAATTACTTTCTGTTAGCACGTTTGCCTTTGCGAAGTGAGAGATTAAAAGGTTACCTTTAGGTTAGATAATTAGTGCCACGGGTTCAAATAATTGCACTATGTCAGAAGTTGAAGGCGTTATTGAGAAGATACAACGTCCAGCAGATTTGTCAATCGACGAGGATGAGGATGACGAGGTTTGTGTTGACATGGTTGCGTATCTTCGCTTGATTGCCAGCCAGTTTAGCGAACACATTTCAGAATTCTGACATGATTAAGACGTCACTTCTTTTAAAATTCGCTCAAAACACATATTTCAACAACACCACCATTTTCACGTATCGGTCACATTTATCATTATTTCCTGAATTGGATATTGCATCTTCTAACCACAATAAAATCTTGTTAAATGCACATCTCACACAACGTTTTCAGAAACAAATTATGGATCACCACAAATCTGCATATAGAGTAACGTGAAATGACAGTGTATACCTCGTAGTTGTATCAAAGGATGTTTTTTGAGTTCAAGTTAAAAGTGCAGTTAGGGACAAAATTCTCATCACATTTATCATGTTTATAGTAGTCCTCCATAAAAATGTGCTACATAGATGCGAATTTGTGTTCACACAATATGAAGGCAGTGGGGTAGCCTAGCGGTTAAAGTGATTTGATTCCCTACATGGGTATTGCTAAAATCTGCATACTCACTCAGTCAGTATGAAAAAAATTGGCATACACTTTATTCACATGAGCCGACAAAATAACTAAGAATTAGTCAAATTCAGCATTTTAGAAATATGGAAATTAGTAGTTTTTAACATAAAACAGTTTTTCCTGTTTTGTTTGACAATTGGGATTATGTAAATATACTTTTACTTTTACTTTTATGTCTTGTTACTTTAACTGACGTGCACTGATATGCATTATCTCCTTTACTCATAGAGGAATCTTTCCAAAATGCAAAACATTAGGAAGACAGAGCATTGATCATGATGATGTTACATAACATAACCTGTGCACACATTATGTAACCCTCAGGCTCCACTGTGTTGGTTATCAGTGAACATCCAACTTAGAATTTAAGCTGGGATTATCCCACATAATCACAGATTAGACAAGGATTAGATGTGAACATCTGGTGGGGACTTGTGAGATAATTTCAGAGGAGGATTAAGTATTTGAATGGTGATGGTGCACATAATACATATGTCATGAAGTTACTTTGGTCGGGTGTGTGGTTTATATGTAGGGTGTCTGACAGAAAGGGAGGTTGGGTCCCCCTGCACATCCTCTGGATCTGTCAGTGAAGGGACGAAGACATTCAGTGGAACTATTTAATAGAGACCACAGGTGTAACTGTAATCAAGAGTTTCAGTTTGTCCTTGTATGTTGAGAATGGTGAAATGGGGTTTATAAAAGCAATCTTCAGATAATCAAATCTTGACCAGACAATCCATAGGAAGATGTTAAGAGCACCTATCATGGACATGATCACATACATCATGTACATTCAACTGATTCACAGAACCTGACAAACAAGCCATTTAGTCACTTCTTACCACTTGCTTTAAACATATTTCATTCATGAAAATATACCAGTCATGAATGTTGGGATCAGGCTACCCGTTCTGCCGTGGGTCCGTTTCAGCTATAACCCAAATATACAAGTCATGAATGGATTGGCCAACAAGCTCTGAGGAGCTTATTTAAAGGCCGTTTCTTTCCACTTATGTAACAGTTATAGGCTACAAAAATTATGAGCGCCTATCTTCTTAGCCATAATGTCTATTGTACTACTTAAAATGTCATATTATTATTATGATGTATACAAAGGGATTGGAGACTTTGGCAAATCACATGTCTCATAGAGAGCTTGCTTGACCACAGCAGCCATTTGTTTTAGCAATTTTACTTGTTTTCCAAACCATTTTTGTTCATATTTTTGTTCTGAACATCAGAAGGTAAATATACTCATGGAAACGAATAAGGGAACACATGAAAGTACAAGTGTTCCTTTATTCTTTTCCAGAATTTCACCAACAGTGCAATACAAATCTGGTGAAGAAACCTGGAAAAGAATAAAGGAACACTTGTACTTTCATTTGTTCCCTTATTCGTTTCCATGAGTTTATTAATAGTGTGATAAGGAAAAAGACATATTTTCTACAATCCTGTTAAATCCATGGGCCATTGTACTATTGTAGGATTGAAATATCAATTTATTTATTGTATACTAGTAATTCAACATTATGTATAGGAGAGATGACTCATGTATCATTTGTGTTTGTCAGGACATTGATGAGACACTGAGTGAAAGGCTATGGGGCCTGACAGAGATGTTCCCAGAGCCAGTGCGGAATGTATGTGGAGCCATCAGCAGCTTCACATTATCCGGAGTCAAAATTGGCTTCAGTTTCAGTCGCTGTGCGCTCTGGATTGCATCTTCATCAGCAGCTATTATGGTGCTTCCAATAGTGTTTGAATCTGAGCGGGCACAGCAACATGAACAACAACTACAGCAACAGCGACAGGTATATACTATATTTACAAGTCTTTCGCCATCATATTAATAAAATATAGCATGCTCTAAGACAAATTGTCAAAACTTCATAACGTCCTAGAGCAATGCCCGCATTGTGATTCATGTCCTTCAACACCAGTTTGTCTGCTCTGTGCTTGGCTCAGATTTTATGGTGTAGATCAACCTAGGTAAGTAATGATCCCAGTTACACAACTAATGTCTAAATGTCAAACAATGACTTGTTACATTGTCTGATATGGGCTGCAAATGGTTTATGTTGTTGGCATATGATCATTTTTTAGAGTGGGGTGTGTGTCTGTTTCCCCAGTTATACTTACAAAAATCTATGCAGATCACCACCCTGTATGTGGTATATCATCCTGAGTCTAAGGTATATCACCCTGTTTGGAGTATATCACCCTGTAAGTGGTATATCATCCTGAGTCTAAGGTATATCATCCTGTTTGGAGTATATCACTCTGTCTGGGGTATATCATCCTGTAAGTGGTATATCATCCTGAGTCTAAGGTATATCACCCTGTTTGGAGTATATCACCCTGTATGGAGTATATCACCCTGTAAGTAGTTTATCGCCCTGTGTTTGGTATATCATCCTCATTCTTGGGTATATCGCCCTGTTTGTGGTATGTCACCCTGTATGGAATATTCCACCATCAAAGCGGTTTATCACTGTGTATTGGTATATCAGTCTGTTACGTATACCACCTTGCATGGTGTAATTCATCCTATCTATGGTATATCAACCTATATGGAGTATGTTTGTTGTAATTGTGCACTGAGCATGATGAACGTGTATTATGCTCCTGTTCCAGATCTTGCTTGGTCCAAATGCTGCAGTGTCTGGCGGCCAGAACATGATGCCAGGGATGGCTGGGATGATGATGCCAGGACAGAAGCAGTAACTGCAGTAGTGTGTATGCATGTATGTGCAGGTCATCACAAACATGGGGAGGAGAAAGGAAGAGCATTGTGATAATGTGTAGTTTACCCGGAGAACTGTTTAGTGTACAGTGGAACTGTTTTAATCTGGACTGTAGTTTGAAAAGAAGGAGACCGTCTGTACACATGGTACAACTACAAGGCTGAAAATATGGAAGCAATCAGTTTCGGAGTTAGTAGCTCTGTTACTATTGGTTAGTGGTGGGACATGAGGATTCTGGTCAAGTTGTATAAACTTGCAATAGTGTTTGTGTGTGTGTTTGTGTTCATGTTTATGCAAAAGGGTTCCAAAGTAATTCTGCATGGTTCTGATGTGGACACTTACTGGTTCCCGTCTAATGGGGTTTTATTGTACTTCCCTCACAATGTTTTTACCCATGAAGTCTGTTACATGCTCATTGATATGCATCATATCAGTTAAAGATTCCTCAAGAGCATCATCTCATTAGCATCACGTATGCTGGCACCATGAGACAGTTTTAGTTGGGCAGTTCCTGAGTTGTTTCAGGGTGGCCAGGAGAGCAGTCATCGTGCCACTGGGTTACCTCCCCTGGAGATATTGTTAATGTGATTGTTGACATTTCATCATTGTTGAGGTATGGATGTGTTTGTATGATTTAGTGTAATAAATAATATATAACTCATGTTTTATTCATGTATTATGTGAATTGTCATTGTGTGCAAAGAGGGGAATATCCTTTTGACCATATGAACTGCAAACAACTCACAAAAGTACCTTGGGTGTAGGGGTAGCCTAATGGCTAAAGCGTCCGCTTGTCATGCTGAAGATCATGGCCTTATGGCCTCACGATCTGTTAGGCTCATTTCTGGCGTCCCCCACCATGATATTGCTGGAATATTGCTGAAAGCTACATAAGACCATACTCACTGGGGTACCAGGGTTGGTGGGGTAGCCTAGCGGATAAAGCATTCGCTCATCACACCGAAGACCAGGGTTCAATTCCCCACATGGGTACAATGTATGAAGCCCATTTATGGTGTCCCCCACCATGCTATTGCTGGAAAATTGCTAAAAATCTGCAGAAATTTAAGCTCACTCACTGAGGTACCTCATTCCCAGAGTTCTCTGTGAAATCCATAAAATGACTTCTGTGACAACTGTTGTGTTAGGCAGGCTGAGGCTGCCTGAAGTTGGAACTTACTTTTGTTTACTAACAATTAGTGGTACAAATGTATAACGATTCATCGATTGTATTGATGTTTGCATCGTCAACTACGTGATACGAGTGCATCAATACAAAACACATTTAGGCAATATATATTAGGATATTTATATCGCAAGGGTCCATGATACATCGATGTATCGCCACAAGATACAACCTAAATACTACTTACCATTGTAAGGAGTATTGCATTAGGAATAGGAAGGGAGTCTCTTTGAAATCCTTTGAATTTTAAAAACAAATTGAACCTTATAGGGATTTGTTTGTGTCTGCTATCTTTGTTACATGAACAAAGGAGTTGGTGTATAAGTGAAAGAATGTGAACATTTTTCAAACTCTGTGAACTGTAATATACTTGTTTTAAAGTGATTGAAATATGTTTTAGTTGTTTGACAAATAACACCCTTTATTAACAACTATGAACGATGTCTTAGCTTTGTTAAGAAAGAGAACAAAGAGAAGATAAAATTTAGAGAGCATTGAGATTTTTTTCAGTGATTCTGAATTCTGGTGCAAATTACATTGAAATGTTTTCAAAGGAAACTGCAGAAACACAACTTTCAAAGGGAAACTTCAGTTTCAAACTTATATATATTAGATCAAGGTATACTGATAATGTTTGATTGTACTTTCTTAAGCATTAAATGCTGAAACCTTTTTAGATGAACAGCCTTTTAAGTGTGTGTGAATGTAACACAAGTTCTGCTGTATAACAAATAAAGTTTCAGTCATTTTATCCATCATATATGTTCTGTCATTAGAAATTGTAAAGTATCAGGGTACGTATCGTATCGCCACCATTGTATCGTGATAATTGTCTTGCAGGTTCCTTGCCAATGCTTTCATGATATATCGTCTCGCCTCATGAAACTGGTATCGGGATATATCGTCTCGCCTCATTAAACTGGTATCAGGATATATTGTCTCGCCTCATTAAACTGGTATTGGGATATATTGTCTCGCTTCATTAAACTGGTATCGGGATATATCGTCTAGCCTCATTAAACTGGTATCGGGATATATCGTCTCGCCTCATTAAACTGGTATCGGGATAAATCGTCTCGCCTCATTAAACTGGTATCGGGATATATCGTCTCGCCTCATTAAACTGGTATCAGGATGTATTCATTAAACTGGTATCGGGATATATTGTCTCGCCCATTAAACTGATATCGGGATATATTGTCTCGCCTCATTAAACTGGTATTGGGATGTATTGTCTCGCCTCATTAAACTGGTATTGGGATATATTGTCTCGCTTCATTAAACTGGTATCGGGATATATCGTCTAGCCTCATTAAACTGGTATCGGGATATATCGTCTCGCCTCATTAAACTGGTATCGGGATAAATCGTCTCGCCTCATTAAACTGGTATCGGGATATATCGTCTCGCCTCATTAAACTGGTATCAGGATGTATTGTCTCGCCTCATTAAACTGGTATCGGGATATATTGTCTCGCCTCATTAAACTGATATCGGGATATATTGTCTCGCCTCATTAAACTGGTATCGGATGTATTGTCTCGCCTCATTAAACTGGTATCGGGATGTATTGTCTCGCCTCATTAAACTGGTATCGGGATGTATTGTCTCGCCTCATTAAACTGATATCGGGATATATTGTCTCGCCACTCAGGCAACAATACACAGCTCTACTAACAATGATGACAGTCGTGGTCATTTTATTAAAAATGCTGAAAGATGCCAAGGGGCTTCCATCGGTTCCTGATCCACGTATCTTAAACATATAATATCAGCAGTAAAATACTTTTGGCCTCCAATGCAAGGTTAGTGTTTAAGATGGCTTTTAGCTGCTTGATTGTTATGTTTTTAGTGCTGATTATTATTATTTTTATTATAGGATATTTATATAGCGCACATATCCAGGCAACTAGTGCTTGCTCACTCAAGGCGCTGGTATTTTTTCCCTCGATCACTGGATGTCAATCTTAATGTTGCATTCAAGTAATAACATACATACTGATATTATGATAGAATAGCGCCAATATCCAGCTCAGCTGCTCAAAAGCACTTTTGTTTTTCCCTCGATCATTGGATGTCAATCTCAACTCTTGCAGCCACTTAGGCGCACAAGTTAATGTGACTTTCCCATCCTTCCGAGGTATCCATTGACATGGCACGAGACACCAGAAATGGGTTCATGCTTTGTATCAAATTGGGGAACAGAACTTAAGGACCAGTGAGTGCATATATTTTTCAACATATCTAAGGGACAAAAATGAAACCAGCACAAGTGGATGTGGATCCCTTCAATGTCTTGTTTATGTTGTTAGTTGTGGTATTTTAATATGAATTTGTTAAAATACTTCAGGTGCTATCTCTGCCCTTCTAGTTTGAGGAGAAATTCCATGCCATTTTGAACATTGGCCCCAGTAGGATATTTCTGTATATCCTGATGCATAAAATTATCAAAATGAATAAGTATGTGTAACAGTAACATGTATGGACTTTGTAACTAATTGGACATATTCGCTGATAAAACCAGCCTCATGAATTTAACTTTAGTATTATAATATTATATAATAGATTATATTATAATAGAGTATATTAAAGCTTTTTCCATGACAGAATGAGCTGATGACTTTATCAGAAGAAAAAAATGGGCCAATGAAGCTGAGACTGGTTTCAATCAAAGATGACAGCTGAGTTTGTTAGTGCTTGGAATCTCAGTGGCAGCCACATAGGTTCCCATGACAGATCAATACCGGAGAGAGTCATCTGGATTTACTTTACATGACGTGATGAGCTTCAAATAATATCCTATGATGTTTGCAGCATAATATAACTATTTTGCATCTATGGGTATGAAGTGTCAGGTTTTATGCCCCTTTCTGCAATATTTGATGAATTTCATTGCAAAGTACACCAATAGGCTTCATTATTTTTTGTCTCGAGAAGTTAACGAAATATTTCCAATAGTTTAATTTACTGTCAATGGTATGTCTGAGCAAGTCACCAGCATGTGTTGGCATGTCGTAAGATTGATGTTTCATTAGCATACTTTGTGACTTGTCCGTTTGGGTGGCTTCGTGTCCATGTAGAACGGGAAATTGATCATGCGATCAACTGAACATCTAATGTATTCATTGAATGGTCTGGCAACTGTAAACCAAGTAATTCACTGGTGGTCAAGCATCAGAAACAACAGAACAGACTTCTCGTTTCCAAAATATATGTATTTGGCTGTATTGTATACAAGTTAGTACATAGATATGTATAGCTGTATATATATGCAAAACTGAAAAAAAAAATCAAAAGATTGCATTTTCCTTCCCCTCGCTGTACATGCTGTTTACAACAGGCTTGTGAACGTCTAACTATGGCAAATATGTATAAGTGGTAAACAATGGTAAAACATGCGGACGAAATTACACAAATATTATACAATGTACAGATATGTTGAACAATAAGCATTGTTAGATGTACAAAAGGCGGTCCCTGAAGTTCAAGCAGGAAAATGTCGGATAACTATCACTCATCGCTGTACTCAGCAGTAAGCAAGGGATATGGCAACATTGGACATATGAGAGAATAACACTCTGGTAATAAACAAAATAAACAAACATTAAATATTGACAGGGTTTTAAGACATCTATACAAAATAATCATGGGTAACAGCTGATACAATCATTTAAGTTGTGTCACATCCTTGACTCAGAATTCAAATCTCCACAATTGTATAATGAGATATATTTTCAAATAAATTACTAAAACATGCCATTATTTTACATGGGTTTTGTTCGTGAATAGGAAATCTACATTATTTTACAATCATTGAAAGTCTGTTTCCCTGAAAATAATTGATCGGCAAGTCGATTGCAATTCCCTTTTGATATGTAGAATATTGAAAGCTCACTTAGATTAGTCTACAAATATACCTGTAAACTAGTCACAGTCTGTATTGCAGTAATGAGCAAATGTTGTACACGTCGGTCACAAAGAAATCTTCTGCCTCGTGTTTCACAACCATGGACTTGCAAAAAAACTAAGGATGTAAAGGGCATCAACTGTTGATCGGACACTTTGGACAAATTTCCAATAAAATACAACCCTTCAAGACATAATGATATATTCTTTAACAATATTGAAGTGTGACAGTGCTGCAGTAGTTTTGATAATGTCTTTATGTTTTCCTTACGTACAAAATTCTTTTTGTTCAAAAAACAAATATCAATAATAAATTACTTACAAAAAGCTATTGCAAAACTGAAACTGCTTTTCACAGTTCATCAAACTCAGCAGTATTTTCAGACAGCGCAAACAATCACTGACAACAGTCTCAAAATGGTATTCATATATAACGTTTAGTTCCTATATAGTTCGTTTGGCAAGACTTGACAACAAAACTTACAAGGGACAAAATTTTGTTCGTGGTGGTAGTGTTCAAATTTGGCATTTGACTTGTTAAGTACATAATACATCTCATGAGGAAATGACATAACTAGGTGACAACTTGTAGTCAGTTAATATACCGGTAAATAAATGTGGGTGGATTCTCAAAATGCACAGTACTATTTCAAAAGCCAATGATTCACACAAGTATCCAGTATTGATAATGGAAACGGCTTAAATCCAATAAGGTGTCAGTAGAAAACTAAATGCTTTTCAGAAAATTGTACTGATGGAAGGACCGGACTCCTGTTTTGATGCATTCATTTACAAAATACTATCAGAACATTTGACATTGTGGTTCATATTGGCATTCTGTATGGAAAGAATGGAATGTCATGCATAGTACCAAGGACGATGTGTTGTTTACTGGAAGATGTGTTGTCGTTTCCTAGGATAGTCTGGATCTAGCTCTTCAGATGAAACTATTTTCAGCTGTTTATTGCTTAAAGTCATTTATTCTCATGCCAGAGTCCAGTACAATGCCTAGTATTGTTGAACCATTGGTTCATCATCGGAAGACTAAAGTTTAGTTGAAAATTCAGCTGAACATTTTGATTTGTATCATGAGCACCTTTAATGGCCACAAAAATAATTTAAATTCTAATTTAAAATCTTTGGCTCTAGAGAAATATTCTAATTTTAATAAATTACTAATAAACCTAGCAACATTTGACAAGCAATGTGTGTCAATTTTATTGCAAAATTATAAAAAGAAAGAGCTTTTGCAAAATAGTGTGCAAATTGCATTACTTTGCAATTTTTTGTCCTCTCAGTGTAAACTTCTCTAAGCTACAGTATAGGAACAAGGATAAAATACTGCTGCATGTGTGTCTTAAACTTGATTAACTCTAAACACAAAAACACACTAAAATTGCATACAAAATCTCTGACATTTTACACATCAATTATTGCATGATGTGATCTGCAAATGCAAGAATTAGCTTTTGGCAGTTACAGTGATGTATTTGCTTGGTGGTAAAACGATGCATAGCAACTGTGGGGAGAAAATAATGGAAATATTAGTGCTCTATCTATGAAACACACATGAAGGGGATTGAACATAGCATCTGACAGCTAAAACAATTATCAACTGAGCTTGTTCCAATGGATACAAAAGTATGCTCTTAAACACTGACTGACTGAGTTTAGTTTTACGCCGCTTTTAGTAATATTCCAGCAATATCACGGCGGGGGACACCACAAATGGGCTTAACACAATGTGTCCATGTGGGGAATCGAACCCGGGTCTTCGGCGTGACAAGCCAACGCTTTAACCACTAGGCTAACCCCTGCTCTTAAACAGGCCACAATACAAGTTTTACATTTGTTTAAACAAAGAATACAAATATATCCATACTTTTCCAGAATGAATAAAGGCTGTTACAAAATCTGGATTGAATAAATCTGCAGAGCTATATATTAGGTTCAAATATGTAGAAATTTTGATAAAACAAACAGTTTATGTAGATGGAAGTTTAAAAACATCTCGTGGTCATTTGAAGAATGGAGAGATTTGCTGTTGGGCAGGAAGCCAAGGAACTAGTGTTTTCCTGCTTTAACACCACGAGGGGATCGACCTGCCGCTTCCTTTCCTGTGGATTTAGCAGAAGCTTTCCCAGCATCCTTTGGGCGCAGGCTTTTGGCATCAAAGACATATGGAAGGGATGGACTACTCTTGGATCTTCGCAAATCTGAAAACGTAAACAGGAAATAATGTCAGTTAATACTTAACCTCTCGTTAAGAACCTGCTAATCTAGATCCCATTACGTGAGTGAGTATGGTTTTACACCACTTTTAGCAACATTCCAGCAATATTCCAGCAGGGGGACACCAGAAATGGGCTTCACACATTGTACCCATGTGGAGAATCAAACCCTGGTCTTCTGCATGATGAGCAAACGCTTTAACCACTTGGCTACCCCACCGTCCATTAGACCCAACCCATTAATCTGGACCGCTGTAGCATAAGTTTCTCAGCTCTTCTTAAATTTGAAAACAATACTGATTGAAGTGTCTGTAAAATCTCCCATTTGTGTGCTCCCTTTTTGAAACCTTGAGTCTGTGTCCTGTATTCACCACTAGAATCTGTTGGTTTGTGGACCCACTGTCCGTCTCATTACAAGTTATTGTCACAATAAAGATATTATTTAATGTTGACAACCATCAAAATAATTAGTAGAAAAGATTGTTTCTTCAATTCAATGATGAGTTAATGTGAACTGAAAGCTACCTCCAACACAATTTAATTTTGAGGACATGATGACTGATCTGAATGCATAATGAGTATGCAATAAAAACAGGAGTGTTATTTTTCACACTTTTGCCATGTTAATATCCAGTTTCTGGCAACATGCAAATAAGCGGTAAGGTTTTATGCCACTATTAAGCGATCAAATTATCAAGACAGCAGTCTGAACTTGGCTCAACTTAAATCATTCACAGAACTCAAGGAACAGCTTCATCCAGTAGGTGCAGAATATGTACTGATAAATTACATTATGAGCATGCTGACACCATGTGACTGCATAGGTTACATCTGGGAATGTTCAGCTCTTGCAGTAGAATAGACCAAGTATCCCAAAACAGAACCCTCAGTATTTAAAAATTGCCATTAATTAGTCTGTAACATTAAGCTCTACACTACGTTGTACATTGCTAGCATTGTTCCAGCTGCATCACTGTGGCCTGTAAAATCATGCTGACCCAGGCAAACCTGATACTGAAAGGATGAGCAACTAGACCCCGACAGGTCACTGAACCTGATGACCTATTCTTTCTCCGAAATTCCCTGAGATTACTACTTCATGTACAGAGCATCCTAAACCTGTTCAAAGGCACTATTTCACACACTTCTCTAAAATTAAATAATGCATTTCTCTCAATAATACTATCAGCCCTCAGGGAAGCTACTATATAATTTATTCCAATAAAAATTACGTTTTATATTACAATATTAAATCCAAAAGTTTGAATGAATTAATGCAGCGTTGCATTAAATCGACTCTAACTCCTTCTTCCGGCCAAACATTATTTCAAGCGAACCCCATAGAGTTATGTCCCTTGGAGTGCTCTTTACCAATATCTTATGCACAACTTGGGATTGAAACCAGTGAGTGCATATGCCCCAATTTATATAAAATAGGCCAAAATATTGTCGAAAATGTGTGAAATTGTGCCTTTAAATACTAAGTTCCCGAGTGTTCACCTTGGGGTCCAATCCTGCGCCTTCTGTGTGAGTCTCTACTGGAGTGTTCCGAATCCTTCTTGCTGGTCTGTGTTGGCTGGGGGCTGGGGCTGCGTGCTCGCTGGTGGAAGGAGGGGGCTGGAACAGGAGGGGTGTGAAGGTAGGGGGAACACACACAAACATGATCAAATTACCAGAGGTCCACACCGGTGCCATCTTATTTAGCAGATCCTCCACTCTTGTGTAGAGTCAGTGCATCTATGAGTGGTGTCTTGGGTCTAAAGAGGATGCCACTGACTGGCAAGGGTGGCTCTAGTTACAGATATAAAACTCTTGACAGAATTAATTCAAACTTCATATCTTCATTAGGGTACACCAAATAACATCTGTTTGAAGAATTTACAGATCCTTAGTTCAAGATGCAAAGGTAGTTGAGGTGTATTTGAGATAATTTTCCAGACTAAGTAAAAGAACTTTGAATGAATATGCAACTACAATACAAACATATTAAACTCTACATGTTCAATGGAACAGCACATACTTTATTATAGTAAAACTGCAACAGTCCAGTTCATTTGTAAATCAACAGGCACTGGTCTTCCCGAAGTATCTATCATCAATGGTATACTTAAATTATATTTAAATATTCAATTTAAAGATATAAACATAAACAAACGCTGAATGAGATATGATGCAGACATTATGTATGTTATTGGTTATTTCTATGAGTGGCAGTAATGAAAGGAGGTTAGTCCCTACTTCTCCTGATTGGTCGCTTGGAGCTGGATTCATGGGACTCCTCGTGTTTCTCTTTCTGCACCTGAGCCTTGAGTTCGTGGTTCTCCTTGAGCACCTGCAGGTACTGGGTCATGGCCTGGCGGTGTTCCTGAAGACAGGCAATGGCATATTCTTATAGATTCCATCATCCCTATTGAACTCTTAGTTATACACACTGTGCTAAGTCCTTATTCTGCTCTTACGTATTATACACACAGCATTACAAGCTTATTCTGCTCTTAGATCTTATACATACTGTATAAGTCCTTATTCTGCCTTTACGTATTATACACACAGCATTACAAGCTTATTCTGCTCTTAGATCTTATACATACTGTATAAGTCCTTATTCTGCCCTTACGTATTATACACACAGCATTACAAGCTTATTCTGCTCTTAGATCTTATACATACTGTATAAGTCCTTATTCTGCCCTTACGTATTATACACACAGCATTACAAGCTTATTCTGCTCTTAGATCTTATACATACTGTATAAGTCCTTATTCTGCCCTTACGTATTATACACACAGCATTACAAGCTTATTCTGCTCTTATATCTTACACAAACCGTATTAAGTCCTCATTCTATTCTTTGATCTAATACTCTGTATAAGATATTATTCTTTTCTCAAACCCAACACAAGTATAATGTCCTGTCAATTTGTGTACAACGTGATGACCAACACATCTTTGTTAGAGGGATTTCATAACATTGTACGTAAGAGGTGACTAACGGGATCGGGTGGTCAGGCTCACTGACTTGGTTGACACGTCATTGGTTCCCAATTGCGCAGATCGATGCTCATGCTGTTGATCACTGGATTCTCTGGTCCAGACACAATTATTTACAGACCACCGCCATATAGCTGGAATATTGCTGAGTGTGGCGTAAAACTAAATTCACTCACTCACTCATAACATTATAACCTGTAATGACAATCTAGACTGGCCAGTAAAACACCTTGACCTAGGACAGTTAATGTGACTGTATTCTTAATTTCAGCTTTTCAGTATTTGTGTACATCTCAGCTTACAACACATCATCATTTTCCAAAGCACCTGCCCAGCTTACCTCCGTGCTTCTCTGCAGGCTGTTTTCAAAGTTTTTCACTTGAGATCGGAGTTTCTGAAGCTCGGCATCCTTCACACGGATCAAGATCTGAAGCAGAAACCAGAGTTTATGACAAACTGGCATCTTACAGTTAAAACCCCTGCACAATATGCAAATAGTTTATCTGGTCATTTCAAGAACATTAAACTGTTGAGACCAATGGGCAAACTATCTACATCAGAAACATGCCTCAGATGTTTAACTCCTTCATATTTACAGAGAACACTGGTATATACTATGGCAGTAATTATTTGATATGGTAGATTCTGTCACTACTAAATAAACAACCACAGTTAAGGGTTGTATCTAAATACAACCTATATTGGTGAATAAACATGCACGCACTCGCACATGAACACACATGAACACATACAGGGCTACAGATAGGGGCGTACAGGCATAATGTATGCATCAAAATCAATTAAGTACGACACAATATAAGATTTCAAGAGTAAATACCTTCATACGTCTAACAATTAATTTCCGTGTGTATCGTGCAAATGGAAATCTATTTCGGATAAATACTTGTTGTCAAGAGTTTCTTTGCGAAACAGGATATGACACATAAGGAAACCCAGACAGTAGGAATCCCTTGCGTTGCCATGCAACGATATGCGTCACTATTTTTTGATTGGCTAAAAACTACACTGTTCCTATTTATATCCAGTCGGACCTGACATTTCGCACATCACACAGTCGCTCAGTTATTTCTCACGTGTCTTCAAATACAAATACATGGTTGGAAATAGTGATCGATGAATCGTCCAGACAAACCACATCAACTCGCTCACACAAAAACATGTCAGTACTCCTTCAAAATTCTCAGTACACCTCCACTTGCAATATGATGTGTTAGTACACTCACACCCCCAAAAGTTATCTGGAGCCCTGCACACACACAAATGAACACATTCAATCACATGAACACACATATGCACAGGGAGAAAGGAAGCGAACAATGTGTGTGGAGCCTGTCGATAGCCTTCATCGTGTGTCTCACCTGAGCATCAAAGAGGTCTTCCTCCATGGTGCCCCCTCCGCTGGACATGTTGGGCTTGTAACACACCAATTACGGATGAAATCCTTCAGGCCATCTATCTCCTTGTTCAGCATCATGTTCAGGTGGTCATTACTGCAACAGTTAACATTGGAAGTGAACTTTCATATCTGCAGAATCTTTTTTCATATTTACCAAGAAAATTACATTACCTTCCTTTTAAAGCTATGAACATGTTGTTTTATGTGCTTGTGAATGCTGAGCTTTGCCTCCATGCAAGAAGCCTTCACAAATTTGGGTGAAGAGACAATCATGTAACCCCTTCATAAACCCACCTCCTTCTTCAATCAGGTCTTTATAAACAGTACACAGATCAAGCTGTCCATTTCCACATTACAATCCGAACTGTTGAACATTCACAAATGCACCTTCCCGAGGATGAGCCTGACTCTAATGGTGCCTGATGCTGCCGGTGCTGGTTCAAATCCTTGATGGGACTCACCCTACAAATGTTCTAAATCTGAGAATGTGTAATACCAAATAAAACAGGTGTTTCATTTTACCTCTTCCTATAATGGCATTGTGTATTGATGAGCTGCTTGTAGTGGCTCTCATACCTGTCCATTTCCACATAACATCTGCTGAACATTCACAATACACCTACCTTGAGATTGCATCTTGTGGATGGATACAGCGCTTTATAAATACTCATTATTATTATCATTATTATTACCTGAGGATGAGCTGCTTGTAATGGTTCTCATACTCCTGTTTGGTCTGCTGCAGCTTCACCTCAAGCAGCTTGTAGTCCTCACACTTGCTCTGGTAGTGCATCTGGATCTGACCAAGCTCGTCACCCATTTTCTCCATCTCATGTCTACAGGGAGGGAATAGGCAGTGAATTAGTGGTGTTTAAGAGTGAGTGAGTGAGTATGGTTTTACACCGATTTTAGCAATATTCCAGCAATATCACGGCGGGGGACACCAGAAATTGGCTTCACACATTGCACCCATGTGGGGAATCCAACCTGGGTCTTTGGCGTGACAAGCCAACACTGGTGTTTTAAGAAGTGTAAGAGCCAAAATCACAGTGAAAGTATTTGAAATAATACTACAACCAGTATATTTTTACTGACAATTTGAAGAACTTGGTAATACTAATCCTAACTGATGGGTACAAGGCATTGAGCTCAGCCATTGGCTTATGCCGACATACAAAGAATCACAGGGAGAAAGTTCGGGACAATAACCAGTTCTATTATTACTGGACCCGTGAAGATCTGGGGTAGAATAAGTCTTCAGCAAGCCATGCTTGCCACAAAAGGCGACTATGCTTGTCGTAAGAGGCGACTAACGGAATCGGGTGGTCAGGCTCGCTGACTTGGTTGACACATGTCATCGGTTCCCAATTGCGCAGATCGATGCTCATGCTGTTGATCACTGGATTGTCTGGTCCAGACTCGATTATTTACAGACCGCCCCCATATAGCTGGAATATTGCTGAGTGCGGCGTAAAACTAAACTCACTCACTCACTCTATTATTACTGACATTACAAAAATTTGGCAATACTAATCCAGTTGTATTCCAGCCCTTTCTGATTTGGATTGGGTATTGAGATCAACAGTTATCTGATGCCTACGTATGATGTGTTATAGAACTTCTGTTTATATGACGTATACTCACTGATGCCTGCTCTTGAACTCATTGACATAGTCATCTGTGTACATGGTCATGAGAGCTTCCCTGTACTTTTCCTTCTCCTCGCCGAGCTCCTCCTCATAGGCTTTCCTCATGGCATCCAAGGCTGAAAACAGTAACACATGGTTTGAGAAATAGATTTAATCCTGTTCATTAATTGTGGAATCGGTCATTCATATACCATCCGCCATCTTAATAGACATACTGACTGACTGAGTTTGGTTTTACGCCGCTTTTAGCAATATTCCAGGAACATCACGGCGATCTTAATAGACATACATCACAAATACAATATCATCAAGACAAACAGACAAGATGAGTCATGACATGCACTAGAATGTCATACTTTCAACAGAAATATTTTTACTATCATATTTTTCCAAGACCTTCCTGTATTTTTCTCACCCTTCTCAACTTCCTTACATTATCTCCAGAAAAGATGAATGCAAGTACGTGAGTTCAGCTTAAAACAGTTCTATCGAATCATATCACAGCATATGCTTGATGTCAGAAGAAAGCCAGAAGTGAAGCAAGTCTTTGACAATGATAACAATGGGATGTCTGTTTTGAACAGCAATGTGAAATGTGGATCACAGTCTTCTGGCAGACCTAACACACACAGCTCTGTACAGCTGATTGCAGAGCAGCATCAACCCTGAAGATGATGATTAGCCAATCCTTTAATTACGAGTTTTATATAAACAAACACTCTACATGCCAGCATTCATTCAATTGATAAAGAAGTAAGCACACACTCCATACCACTATATATGTCCCGTATAAAACTGAGTGAGTGAGTTTAGTTTTACGCCGACTTTAGCAATATTCCAGCAGTATCACGGCGGGGGACACCAGAAATGGGTTTCACACATTGTACCCATGTGGGGAATCGAACCCGGGTCTTCGGCGTGACGAGCGCAATCTTTAACCACTAGGCTCCCCACCACCCCCTTATAATACAGAAGCTGACATCATTGCCTTAGTTTTACCACTACTACCAGACAAATCACCCACCAGCCTTAGTGTTCCTCATCTCCTCCGCCAGGGCCTCCTCCTTCTCACGCTTCAGCTGCTCGAACTCGTTGTCATGTTGGCACAGGTCCATCACCTTCTCACCTCTCTGTGGAGCACACAGCACAGTTATATCATGTCCAATAGTCAGAAACGTAATATTCAACAGTAGTTGGGATTTTTTACGCTACACACAGCAGTATTCCAGCTGAATGACAACAGCCAGTATATAACTAAGTCTGGACCAGACAATCCAGTGATTACTATTGTGAGCAACAATCAATAATACCCTCTCAAATAAACTGCCAAGTCTCATCACCCAATACATTTGGTTGCGTCTTGTGGGGAACTATTCTAACCAGGAATCACCAGCAGGTTCAGGCAGTTGGAAGTAGTATAAAGATGACTTGACATTAACATACTGACAACACTTAATTCCACAGCAATACATCAATACTGGACCATTCTACAATTAATATCTGACTCAGCTTCCATGATTCTCTAAGAATTATCTTTTGATTGGTCATTTATGGCACAAAGAAATCACATGCAATCTTTCACGACACATTTCATGACATCGAAGACCTGCCCGATGAGATACTGAAGAACTTACCCCTGACTCCACTGTAGGCGACACATTCACAACAGGTTGATTCCCTTCAGCAGAGTCTGGAGCAGACGGCTTGGGCATCGCAGGGATTGTCTCCAAATCCTTGATAACAGAACAAAACATTCATCAATCAAACATTACATATTAACATGGTCCTTACATGAAACATCTTGAGTCCGTCTACCAAGAACGAATCAAAAACTGGTTGATGACTTACCAGTGACATTGCTGTTGAATGGAGTTGAACCAGTTGCTGTTCCACCTTGCGTACAAGGTCAGGTTGACTGGCCTTTGAAGATTCTTTTTTCACATCTTCAAGGAAGGTCTACAAGAACAAATTCATGAAATCTTATTCCCTCATAATTACCTTCAGAAAGGGTATAAACCGAATATACAAAGACAACCTCTTTAACTTATTGAGACAACTCATGTGAAAGTCCTATAAGAAACTATCACAAAAGCATTCATCATTTGCCTTTTGTACAATCGTATGAATGTAACAACTGCAGCTACAACCAACCTTGAGGTTCTCTGTCTGTGTAGCCAGTTGTTCCTTGAGTTTCTGGACCTGAGCAATCATCTGTGTTTCCTCATTTGCCCTGATAGCACTGACAGCGGTCATCACATCTTGCTTCATCCTCTCCACCTCCTCGTCATGGTTGGCACGCATGGATTCCAGGTACACATGCAGCTGACCACATTCTCCTTCGAAACCCACACGCTCATTCTCTCGGTCCTCCCACATCCTTTCCACTTTTGTCAGCTCCTGTTTGAACACTTCCATTTGGACATCGTGTCTTTCCTGAGCTGCCACCATTTGATGCTGGAAGGCTTCTTCAAGCAGCCGCAACTGGTCCTCAACCTGGGACCAGTTCCGAGATTTTGCATCTTTAACCACATCTTTCAGCACAGTCACCTGCTTGTCAATCACCTGCAGGACCTCAAGCTCATCCTCATACTTGTTCTCCATAACCTCCTCAAGAGGCAGAAGGACACCATGGAAGTCAATATCTGAGTCTCTACTTTCCTCATGCATGATCTCTGGTTTCCTTAATGGATAGTCATGCCTCAGCTGTTCAACTTCACTATCATGCTGTAGTTTTGCTTTATGCAATGTGTAGGTTAATTGAGCCTGGAACACCGACTCTCTTACTATAGAGTCAGCATACCTAGATAACCGAGGAGGATATTTACTTACGTCAGGTATCCTTCCAACTATATTCCCTGGTGTTTCTGGGCTATTAGTTGCAAGTTGTGCTGCCAAAGTTCTTTTGGAGGAAGCCTCCTTTGCTAAAATGCCACTCAAAGATTTCACAAAAACGTTTATGCTTTTATCAGCCTCAAACTCAGAAACCACACTTTCATCATCACTAGAATCAACTTCTAAAGACAAGTCTTCTTTTGCATACAATTCACTCACAAACACAGATGTTGCCTTCATGACAGCATTTTGAACCATGAGTTGTCCAAAGTTTTCTATTGTAGTATCAACTGATTGCAGAGGGAGTTCAACATCATCACTCCTGGGTTCCTCCTGACTTGCATAACTGGTATGTTCTAACCTGATTGCAGCCAACACCTTCTCTCTATCTGCCCTTAAGGTGTCTACAATTAAATCGTGCTTGTGGGCTGTTTCAGTGTCCTCAGCATAGCGAACGTTTTCTTTGTGGCTCTGGATGTGTTTCTCCATCACCGTAGAGATCTCAGAGCAGACGTCTTCAAGAACACTCTCAGCACCTTCGAAAACAGTCACCTCTTCTCCTTCCTTGGCAATAATCACAGCTAATGATTTCACCATCTGAACTTGGTATTCTTCCACCAAGTTCACTAGAACTTTCTCCCTGGCTTTCATCTGCCTATACAAGAAGTCTCTACGTTTTTTGCACATGTCAACACCTCCTTGACGATCGAAAGACACAAGAGTTTCTTTGATTGTATTCAGTGCATAAGTGAGTTCTCCTTGAATCAGTGACTTGGTGATCATATGAGTTGAGACAGGATCAAGGACATTAAGAGATTTCTCCAAACAGTTATTGATGTGGGCATCCAACTGAGATCTTATTAGAGCCTCTTTGGCAAGGACTCTGGGGCGACTCAGTCCAAGACTGGAGTCGTCCTCCATGGACTCATTCTGATCAAGAGCTGGTGACACTAACTGATCCTCAAGAACTATCTTTTCTGCCAAGAGAAAAGCATAGGATCTCATCACATCTTCCTTCCTCTCCATATGCATTGACTGCGTTTCTTTTTCTATCATCTGCTGGGTCAACAGCATATGACAATTGTGAGCATCAATTTCTTTCAACACAGTATCTCTGTTCTCATCACCATATTCATCCGAAAGAAGAACAGACATTTCCTGCAAGATCACAGCTTCCATGGCAAGACGATCGGAGTACAGAAGGAGCTTGTCTTCAGAACTAAGCTCCTCAGTGCTGGTTGTGGTTTTATCTGATGACACCAGCTGTCTCTGCAACACTCCAAGAATGTTCCAGTCTGCCTGAGTCATGTTGGAATGTTGTTCAAGGTAGCCCATGAGATTAGCCACCCTCTCTCTCACATCCTCCACAGTAATTTGCTCCTGTTCCTCATCATCGGAATCGGAGTCCTCTTCTAAGCCATCTAGCTGCTCATTGATGTCCTGAAGTTTCTCCTTGATTTCCCTGAAACACTCATCCACAGCTGCACTATCTTGTGGACCACCTACCCCATGTGGGTTCCCTGAAGTTTGCTTTGATCCTTGTTCTATTTTACTTGCCAAACTGTCAATCTTCTTGCCATACTTATCAATCCGTGATTGTAAAGACTCTGCACCTGCAGTTTCACTAGTGTCCATTTTGTCTGTATTTGTATTTATACTTTTGGCTATTGAAGATAAATGAGAATTTGATTTTTCTAATTGAGCTTTCATTTCTTTGAGTTTCTGCACAATATTTTGACTATCACCAGGAGACAGTGACAGCCTTGAGCTACTCTGGGTCTTAACAGTTCCTGAGCTGGCTTTTGTTTCGTTATCAGCAATTGATTTTTCAACAAGTAAAAGTTTTTGTTCAAGATTGTTCAGCTGTTGCTCAATGGTGGCAGAAAGATCTGAAGGAATAGTTTCATGGCTGGAAGATTGGGACAATCTTCCACCTCCCCTCACATCAACCTGTGAAGAAAGCATATCTGCCTTCTTAATCACCTGCTCTAACTGAGATTTGTAGCCTTCTTCCATTTTCTTCACCTTTTCCCTCAGCCTCCTATCCTCTGACTCGAGTTTATCACAACTCCTGTACACATCATTCACCTCTTTCCTCAACTTTTTCAACTCTGCCACAGCACAGTCAAATTTGTCCTTGAGGCTACCATATTCATTCATTATCACATGGCTCTCTGAAGAAGAGTCTACTTTAATATCATGTTTGTAATCAGAACCTACAGACTCTGCAAGTGAGGGGTCAACAGAGTCCTTTAGAATTTCCTGCACAGAATGACACTTCCTGCCAATGTCTTCAATCATATCAGCCAAACTCGTAAACTTTGTACGGCTTTCTCCCTGAAGAGAGTCCAGATATGCATCGAAATTTTGCCGCAGCTCAAGAAGCATTGCATTGATATCTTTGAGCTCTGAGTCCATGATAAGTACACTATGGAGGAGTTCCTGACAATCTCCCCCTGAGGAAGACCTGCTCGAGTGAGCCTGGTCTATGTCCTCAAACCTCTCTATCAGCCTCAACTGAAGTCCCTGAATCTGTTTGTTCAAATCTTGTATTGTCTTCTGAAGCTCCTCCTTTTCTCTTTGGTGTTGAGAGAAGGACTTTTTCTCAGAGCTGAGCTTCTCTGAGAGTAGCTGGTTCTCTTTCCTGAGTTCATCCATATGTTTCCTGAGAGACACATTATCTGGCTCATAGTGTGTTATCTTGTCATGAAGTCCATCCAGGTATTTCTCCATCTCTCCAAGCTTGTCCTGAAGCCTTGTCTTCTCATCCTGTAGGGACTCTACACTATGTACCAGCTCTGTGTTTTCAGCCATCATTGCCTGGAAGTTCTCACTCATATCCTCCATCTTTTTCTCATTTTCAATCAACTTTTCCTCCAGCTGTGAAATGATCTCATTCTTCTCTCTCATTAGATCAGAAATGTTGCTGGTGATAGAATCCTTCATCGTGGTCTGCCTCTCATGAGCCTGACACAGTTGAGCTTTCATCTGCTCAAGGTGATTCTCAAGGTCGTCCCTCTCATGACCATACTCTTTCTCCATCTCTTCAATCTGCTTCTCATAACTTTCTGCCACCTTCTTACATTCCAATTCTTTCTCCTTCAGCAGTTTTTGCATGGCCAACAGTTCTTTTTCCTTAGATTCCAGTTTTTCTTTCAACTGTTTGTAATCAGATTCAACTGCTTTCATCCTAAGGATCTCCCTTTCATGTTCTCGACACTTTTGCTGCTGGCCCTTAACATCAGACTCAAGATGCTGACATTCACGCTCCTTTGATAACAGGCTCTCACGACTTCTTTCCAGCTTCAAGGACTTATCCTTCAGCTCAGTTTCCAGGGTTCTGATTCGTCGGTTCCACTCACTTGTCAGCTTTATGAACCTATCCTTCTCCTGCTTGAGATTCTTCAAGGCTTCGGACAGAGCCTTCTCCGTCCCTGTGAGTTTGGAAACCGACATGTCAAGTTTGGACTTTAAGTTGTCAATCTCAGACTTCTGTTTCTGGACAGTGTCCTTGGCATCCTTCATCTGTTTCTTCATCCCTTGGACCTGCAGCAATAAGAAACAGTGAGTCTATGGTATACTCAAAGCTAGGATAATGAGTCTATATATGCTGATGACTTGGTTTGGTCAGCTAGCTTATTTAGGACAGACAGCATATTGTCACAATATAACATTATACATTTATTGAAGTTATTTTCAATTCAAAGATTGCACATGCTTCACAGACATGTATTTCAGTTATTAGCCACCTGGCTTAACTTCAGAATAATGTGGTATATTGTTCATGGTATTCACTTATTACCTTTGTTCCCCATGTTTCTCGGCAAAATATCATAGGATACATTTTGCAAATTACACATTACAATTACCTCCTGAATGGAGGAATATATTACATCTAGTTTTAAAGCAAATAATTACAATATTCAATCACTGTATTTTTATGTGTATATTGGTAAAAAAAATGTCAGGTCTATTTCTTTCAGTGGTCATCAAGCAGATATATTTGTTTGTGTATTTGTTGTTAAACGCCGCACTCAGCAATATTCCAGCTACTTGACCAGACAATCCAGTGATTAACATCGATCTACACAACTGGGATTCACATATGTGTCAACCAAGTCAGTCAATCCCGCAAGTCACCTCTTATGACAAGCATGGGATTGCTGAAGCCTAATTCTAATTTGGACCTTTATGGGTCGGAAGCAGTTACAGAACAAGCACCTGCAGCCTGTAACTTCCTCCAGAGTTCATTCACTGGAGCAACGTACCTGTGAGGCATCATACTGTGACTGCTGTTGGCCCCAACGCCCTCCGCCTACATAGGGATTCTCCATGTGGTGGCTCTGCAATATAATAAAGGTTACATTTATGCCATGGTATATAAATTCCTCTAAGTGTGAGTATATCAGTTATACCCTGCTTAAACAGTATCACGGTGAGTAAGCTCGATGACCGACATAAGCCTGAAATGATGGAGATGTTTACCCCTTCAGTATAACCCATACATGTGGATATGGGGCTGTCAACTTCAGGCTTGATGATTCAAACTTCAAAAATTTACAAAATGATGTTTTCAACATAATCATGAATTACATATCCTTAGCATTGCTGGCATGTTTTCTCAAGACTTCAACCAGATCAAGTGATGCTTATTTCCAGTGTCCTAGCTGTAATATTGCTGTAATATCGCTAAAATTGGCATAAAACCATAACTAACTCACTCACTCAACCAGATCAAACATTGGCATAAAACCATAACTAACTCACTCATTCAACCAGATCAAGGGATGCTTATTTCCAGTGTCCTAGCTGTAATATTGCTGTAATATCGCTAACATTGGCATAAAACCATAACTAACTCACTCACTCAACCAGATCAAGGGATGCTTATTTCCAGTGTCCTAGCTGTAATATTGCTGTAATATCGCCAACATTGGCATAAAACCATAACTAACTCACTCACTCAACCAGATCATATTCAAGCATAATGACAACACTAGTATCCTATTTTGCACAGTGACCGTTTCAGGAATAAACACAATCAAATTTCACCATGTTTTCAGTTGGTTTTCATTATACTGTAATTATTGCCTGATTACGCCACCATAAACATCCCACATCATATATTGCAGCCATCACACTGCATCCTGCTGTTGATACCACATAGCTTTCCCTGATCTAATGACACAATTCTGCCTTGTTTACTTACATAACATTAGTTTACAAACATGACATACTTGTCTGACACTCCATGATGGATTTGCCTGTCAAAATCGTCAGAATCACTATGGCTTATTTGGAGAGTCAGACTCCATGGAAGGGATCTGACATTTTACATGTATTATGTACGTTGCATTAGGACACCTAAACATTTAGTACAATTTAAGATATTCTGGCTTTGGAAAGTGTTCAAAATCATTATTAAAAACATACAATATTGATCCCTCTATATATTACAGTTAACAAAGAAGACATCACGTTTGACAAAAGAAGTATGGTTATAAATCAAATACATAAATAAGAATGTACATCAATGCCATTCTAAACAGTTATCTCAATGTGGAACACTCAAATATATATAAAAGTGGTATGAGTGTTGTTCACACAGATATAAGTCAGTGTAAACTGTGTCAGCAACTCCTGCATACATTTAGGTCATATTGTGGTTCCAGAATCGAAGATGTAGAATTTGTCACAAAGGGTCCAAACTAAACTGAAAGCATCACAACTACAACAATAAATAAGGGCCATTTTCTGTTTGCCTTAAAAGTCAAGGATACTTCTTGTGGCGTTTATTGATGTACAGAGTCAATTTATTACCACGTTGATGTCAATATGCCACTCTAGCTTTTCTTACACTGAAACACAAGTCATATCAGGGGCACCCAGTATCGTATGTCAACTTTCAGGTAAAATATATGAATGATATCAATATACACAACTGAACAGAAATTATTTGGCAACAAAGCAATCATTGATTCACTATGTATTACTTTCTGTTCCATTTCTGGGCAAAATTGAAGCTGGAACGTTTTTGTTCAAATGAACCAGGTAATGATTTTAATATGATAACCACAAGTTTCCTACATAATTAGACAAAATTGGAAGGGCCTTGACTAGTATGCGTTTTAAGCACTGAGTAAAAAATAATGACTAAGAGCACTTAAATTCTAGGTTAAACACAAGCTGTATGTTAATTAACCTACATTTAAATGTCCAAGTATTGTGTCCTCAAATAGCTGTGAAACTATTAAATCACCCAATTCAAAGCAGCAAGTAATTATTGTTCCTGTTACTTGAATACCTTGTACCATACAAAGTTTCCAAGCAACAGGCAAAATATCTCCCTCAACACTGTGTGATGGTGTCTACAGAACTGAAGCCTACAAAAGAACACATTGTTAAGAGTTGTTCTATCAGCAATGTGATCTCATGATACGGCTCTTATTGTCCTATGGGTCAACATATGATAAAACCTCCCTTCTCCTAAACCACTCTCCACACACATCAAGGTGCTTCAAGAATAACACTTGTGAATTCCCTTCAGCATTGTGTGTCCTTGTTCTGCATTCGTTTGTCCACACATTATGGTATAAAGGATCGTATTTCCCTTCCACCTAGTAAGTATCTTGTGTTATATCAGACAAGGAGACATGTGGATTTATGCCCAGGTTAACCTACATTGACATCACCCGGCCTCTGAGCTAATGAGGCAAATAGTCCCCATAGTCCAGTAATGCTGTGAAACATGGAAGGCGGTCGTTTCCCATTGCGTGTTTATGTCCAGCAGGTCAACAGACTGTTACAGACACATCAAACATTACTGTGCTCTTTCTTCTAAACTGAAACAATGGTTGGTTTGAGTGCATTGTTTTTACTTAGGCTGATAATGGCCTCGGTGTCACCAGTGTTTTTTTCTGGTGTTTTTCTCACACACATAAATTCATTTAAAAGACATATATCAAGTGAGCAATATCTAGATCTTTCTTCATCAAGGAACAAGTTTGACAAAAAGTTAACTAGACCTGATTTTTTTTAATTGAAATAACATATTTACATCAAAATTTAATTTAATTATTTCCCATAAAGCTAGAAAGCAACAACATTTCAAACATAAAGGCAATTGTAGAAAACTTGCTCCTCTAGAAAAATTTCACCAAATAAACAAAAATCAGCAGAGCCAAGGAAATTTGTTTTTGGTACATTACCAGGCTATTATTTGAGTGGGGATCACTTCTATGATGGAGGAGTCGTCCCAAGTCATGTCTGTGTGCTAGCCCAGCACAAACACCAGGATAGGGCGATCAACACAGGTACCCTCCCCCACACACAAGACAACGCTCATTTACAAACAGCTGCAGCCCCCTTAAACAGTCACCTACTTCACTCACACACACATTTGTGGGGCATTTCCTTCAGGAAAGCCTTGAAATCAGGGTCCACATTCCCCATACCAAGTTGTCATTATTCCATCTCATCACAATTGGTCTTTGTTTATAGATAAGAGAAGAATGTAGACTATTTCTATGTCTCCATCGATGTAATCTGCTTGAAAGGAAAAAACACAGGTACTCCACTTCAAATATTGCTGTGTTGCGAGTTAAACAGTTTTGTACTGTCACATACGTAAACAGAGATGACTTGACTTCAAACACAGCATCAGAGTTATTATGATGAAAGTTCCATAAATAACACAAGTGCAACTCTCCAGGTTACAGCAGTCATAAGACCGCTACACCTCTCCAGGACCACACAAACAGCATCCCAATCGTACTTGAAACACGTCCAACTGAGATGTTACACCTTTAATGCACAAGTCCAAGTCTTTCCAAGCAAGGCAGCTAATGAACATATGATGATTGCTGTAACACTGTTCCTGTGTGAGCAGCCTAGAGTACTGCTTCATTGCCAGCAGGTAAAAGACTGACCCAGATTGTCCTGGGTTCGTGTGTCATGAGTCTCCACTCCTGCTGGGGCAACTTGTAGCCACGTGGGGTGGGGGGTTGTGCAGAGGGTCTGGACTTCATTGTCTGTTTGTGGTTGGTCACAGATGCAATTATAACCTCAACTTTATGTCAAAGCAGGTGCCAATCATTTTGTGTTGGATGAATAGTCAGACAGCCTCCCTATTGATGTTGGTATGATGGAGGGAACTTTTTATACACATTAATACACAGTGAATTTTATGAACTTTTTATGAAGTATTCATGCCTGAAGATAAGGAAAATACATTCAGACATATCATTTGGTTCATCTAAGAGAAAGATGGTTCAATGGTAAGTTATTAAACAGTAAAATATTAACAATATGTAAAGGTGCATCAGTCTCAAACACACACATTCAGTTGAGGATTAGATGTACTTGAACACATTACTATTCTTTTTAGGCCATACATAAAAAAATTCTCGTTTCTCATTACCGCCAGACCCAAAATTCAACCCAACCCTGAGATGTTTTTTTTTTTTTTACACTATGAGAAAATGCAACTTTGCCTCTCAAAATGTGCATGATTTTTCACACTTCTAAGTTTTGATTTTCTATCAGTGAAAAGGTGTAAATTTCCACAGAAATCAAGTGGTTTTGGACATAAAATAAAAATAAAACGTAAAAATATAATCCGCCTGCCCGACCCATATATTTTGATTAGAAACAAGATTTTTTTTAATATGGCCTTAACTTAGTTGTGTCTCTCTAGCTACTGTGCCACTAAACTATTTGTTATAAAAAAATTATATTTATGAGCTAAAACACAACATTACTGACTAGCTGCCTAGAAATTTGCCACTGGGTACAATCTTTAAAAAAATACTGTCTGAATTTTCAGGTTGAAATATTTGAAGGACAATCTCCCAATTTCACCCCCGCTGAGAGGCTTAAGTGAGCATGAACAGAGCACTCAAAATGAAAATGATTTTCAATTTCAGAATCAATATGTGAATAATCTTATCAGTAGGACCAGTAATTTGTCTTAGAGGTAATGTACTTCTGCATAACCACGTGGGAATTTTGATCAGGTGGGGAACACTCAAGTGCGCATGACTCAAATCACAAGACATTCACAAACATATTCAGTCAAAATTCAGAGTGAGTGAATTTGGATTTTTCTGCTTTGGGACAGAATTTCAGGAAAGTGTCAAAGTGATGTAGATTTTAGCCGTTTACCACCCTGGCGACACAACACACAGGGATAGACTAACACATAGTCTCTGAACATTTATAACTGTGATAGAAACCGATGTCTTATAAATTGAAATAGAGCCCCAGTGAGATGGGAGATTTAATTGAACCTGGGAAAAACTAGACTTGCTTCATGTAGAGCTTTAGCATTGCAGAAAGGGCTGGTCAGAAGGGAAAATACATGCAGTTCAGGGACTGTGACACAGACTAACACAGGGATTGCTGCCAAACATGGTCAGGACAAACATGGGATTCAAATTGACAGTATGTTTCTGGTATGACTAAGAGATGCAGTTCTGCACAGTTAATTGTGGCGCCATGGATGACATGTATGTCAAGATTCAGACATAAGGATGACAACCTGTTCCAGCTGTAATTTCCGTGTACGAACATAGAACCATCCAACACAAATGCAATAAATGTTACAAAGTGCATATAACAAGACTTCTCTTAGAACATAAAGGTGAAAAGGTATGGATGTCAACGTCTTTATTTTGAGGAACACAACGTTTCATCACCCGAAGGAGTAAGTATATACTCCAAAATGTCGTGTTCGTTAAAAAATAGAGGTTGACATCCAAAATATTTTGCCTTCATGTGTATCACTTCTATATGCAGTTCAAAGACACTGTTAGAACATATTAGATCATTTCCTTTGACACACATAGCATGCCTACAATGTCTACAAATATCCTCAGCATGTGTCTTCAGTAGAATGAAGATAGGTATCTTTAGGTAAACGATCTTTGAAAAGGTATACCAAGCGGTTTGGGTAACACTCAACAAACCTTGGATAAAAGAAATAACATTCCTTGAACATAAAAAATCCCTCTGATTATCTTTATGGATTAGAAAGACTGGTGTAATTGTTCTCTGTTGCACAACACAGAGTGGTAGGGTAGCATGGCAGCTGGAGTATTTGCTTGTCGATACTACGCGTGTACTGACTAATCACTGAGATCATAAACAAGGAAACCATCAACAAGGAAGAGCAAGTATCGGCCAATTTAAAATGTGGAATTGGTGATTCATAGAGCTAGCTTCAGAAAGTAAAGAATTTGGAATTGGTAATTAAAAAGTCAATCAATTGACTAGATCAAACAATCTTCAATCACTCCTGCATTAAATTATGAAATTTCAGTAATACGCTATGATCTGGAAAACAAAGAAACCATCAACAAGGCTATGGCCAATTTAAAATCTGGAATTGGATAAAACTACAGAAAGTAAAGTAGTACTTCAGAATAGCTATGCAATTTACATATGATCTGGAATCGGATAAAACTACAAGTAGTACTTCAGAATAGCTAGTACCGTATCGGCAGCACGGATCACAACACACTGTCCTGGGATCCATGGACAGCAGGGATCCGGGGATTGAGGTGAGGCGTCTGTGACAACACCGTTCAACCAACGTAATTCTCTCAGCACTTTATCCTCCTAAAGCTCCACTGACGGTGAGAGAGCTTGACTAAAGAACCATACAAGGACAAATACCCACCCATTGGTCGTCTCAGGAGGGACTGGATTAAGCCACAAACTCGATGGTATTTTCTGGTCTGCACAGGCACCGATATTTATGATAATCCCAGGATATGAGTCACGTTTGCCTCAGCAGCTGTTGCTGTGACCTAGCAGGAATTCTGCACGTTGTCATGGGATTCATGCACATGAAGAGAAGGATGCTCTACTGGTCTGATGATCACAGTCGCATTGGCTGACTGTTTTTGTTGTGATTTTGTTTGTTCAGGAAATGACTTAATTCAAACTATAAATTATCTTTGCTCTGTACAATACCTCTCCTGTAATCAACTCCAGAGGTTAAAATTATATTTCCATTATGTATTCTAGTGACTGTGACACAGTTTGGAAACTTCAGCTCATTCATGGACAACACTTTAAAATTTTAGGGTAAATACACTTTCCTAAAGTAACTAATTTCAGTCAGACAAAATAGAAATGTATAAAGTAAAAAGTTATTGGTTATTCTAAACTTATAGGAGAGAGAGAGAGAGAGAGAGAGAGTTTTCTTTAAAAGAAAAGACACACAATTTTCTTTTCTCATGTAAATATTTATTTCAGTGTTAGGAATGCTGCCATACATGGAGTTCATGCAACATGTGTTGATTTTGCTTGATATCTGTATATCATATGGCATATTGACCAGGTCTTTTGTCATTTAGGTTATAATTCTTTAGCAAAATGTTTGTCAAACACTTAGTCAAACCTGCCATGACAAACTTCGTAACCGTTTGCTACACTGAGTGTAATATCAATGACTACTTCAACATAACATTTCCTTCTGATTCATACAAATACACGTAGAAGTCCTGTTGATCTAACAGTAACATGTGCAGACAAATATGGATTCAATAAAGCATGTCCATGATGCTTTACTAAAACCTCTGAGTCCAAGTTTACAGGTATGATTCTTGCTAACCTTGCTAAGATATGTGTAATGGGTCACCAAAACATAATGACTGAAGAACTATAACTTGTTCATGATATCAGTGTTAAAGCATGTCATAATCATAATGTACTTAAAACTTTGAAAAATAACCCTGACACAGAATGATGCCTTGTTACACACAAATAACAGAAATTGCTTTGCAAATCTCACTGAACAATAATACGAACAGTCTTTGCCCATACACATTCTATTTTTTTAAACAGTGAAATAAGTTTAACAAAACACACCAGGCTCAGTAGCAAGGTTTGTTGAAACAATATATAAACTGAAAATAGTTCCCCCAAAAAGTTTTATCACATGTGATAAACTAGGGTTTAGTCCAATAACAGTAAATCAGGGTGTACCTACATTTGTTGCACCAAAAACAACTATCAGAAATATAATCACTCATCTTGTTTCAATCTGAACAATAACAAAGTCTTATAAACGTATTCATCATTCCTTCTGAACAAAGTATGTCCTCAACTCATAAGCAGATAGAAGAGGATGTGCATCAACACTCAAGGAAGCACTAGTGCTTAACTACCAAACTGCTTTAAACAGTTCCTGTTGTAGTGATCTACTACAAATATTACCCACATCAAGTCTCAGTCATGGAGGTCACATGACCGCTTATTGTGACCACACCTGCCACATACTGAACATTTTGCTCTCAGCACAACTCTTTTACAACATTCAAAGGATTCAAGCCTGTTCTGTTTCAGAATGATTTGTTTGAGAGCTTCCCTGCCCTTATGAGATGTAGAATGAAAATACCATTTAGTTGTATTGTCATTTAACTTTTCAAATCCCTGTTGGCTGAATGTCACCAAATTACCATGCAATTTAAGCATATCTGTGATGTGATATGCCAAAATATGCATATAAGGTGTCACATCTTTGCTTTGGTAAACAAGTCCAAAAGTGGCCACCCACCTTTTACATCTCTCATCAAGAGCTAAAATGTCACTGTGTTCAAATCTTTCTTGTTGAAGCTGAAGAAGAATATTTTTCAGTTCACTCCACAACAAAGATATCAACTGTAATTTAGGATGTTGGGGAATGAAATCAGCAAGGATTATGTTATCTGCAATTTTCCTGTGCTCAGGGCCAGTAAAATCTCTAAATGTAAACCTACCAGACTCCCTATCATTTCTGAACTGAAAATCAACTCCCAATCCTTGTACAAAATGTTCAAATTTTGCTACATTACAGCATTTGCCTCTGGTGTAAATACTGGTGCATCTGATAATGTTGTCCTTTAACCTGAGTTCTGATATCAAATGCTTCACCAATTGGTCCGAAATGCGAAGGTACAGGTGTAACGTGTCAGGTACTCTCCTCCAGAGAGGTATAAAATCAAAGAGGGGAGTGTGGACACAGTTCAAATTTTGTGATTTCTTTCTGGCCAACTCAGTGATCTCCTGTATTGTTCTGGCCCCATGCTTCACATCAGTCACTGACCACTGCAAGGTAGTATCATGTCTGTCTGAAGCTGGACATTTACACCACAGACAACTGTGTTTACATGAACAGGATGCAATTCCAGAGATCATATTGAGAAATTTCAAATCCCCCTCCCAGATAAAACCTGACTTGAAAACATACACCATCAAGATAAATATATTCTAAGTCCTTTGCTTCTTCAATAATTTGAAAAAAGAGCAGCTGAAACACAATCATAAGTTTCCTTTGCAGAAAATACTGCTAACAAATGGTTCCCCTTTACTGAAGTACACAGCATATCATCCAGTATTGTGAACCCAAAATTGATAAGAGTTCTCCTTCTCCCAAACTGTGTTCCATCACCTGTAAGTTTCACACGAATAAGTTTTGTTTGTAAAATGTTGGTGGTGTCATGCTTCATTTCTAGAATGTGTGAAACACAGTTAATGAGTCTTTCTTTCAAAGACTGCTGAACCCCAAAGCTTGGATATGGTGTGTCATGAATTAAAATATTTTCATTGCATTCCTTGATTTTATTAAGAACCTTGTGTGATCTAGGAAGGGAGGGTACTATCATAGATAGTTCATGGTATGCCTTGTTTGAAACACCTTCTGAATCTTTCACGTAAACAACTTTATTCAATTCCACATCAGGAGTAAATGTTTCTTTGACCATGTTCTCCTTCATTGATATCTGGATTTGCCTCCCTTCACTGTCAACAGCTTGAACTGAAGTAGGTTCTAGCTTATATCTGTCCAAAAATGCTAAAGACTGTTTACAGTCTCTTACAATCATATGCTTCCTTTTATACTGTTGGGACCTGGACACCTCCCCACAAGGAAAATGCAATTTCAATGAGCGTCTATTGGACATATCTGAAGGCAAATTTCCTTTTTGCATATTTAACAGTTTTGTGGATAGGAATTGAACCTTTTTTCTTAGATTGATATTTTGTAAAAGTAAGGATTTGGCCTTCCTTACAGAAGATTTGTACTTGTGTAAATATGACACCCTTTTCAACAATTTTGATTTTGATGTTTTTATGTTGTGTTCAGACACAAATACTGTGAAGGAATATTGTTCCTTCTCCCATGTACCTAACAGAGACTTGTACTGCTTCCCACCCTTACTTCTGGTTCTATCATGCCTTGAAACAAGGTGTTTCAAATATGAAGCCAATGTAGATGACATTTTGCCATATTCAACAATGCTGCAGTCAATTTGATTTTGTCTGCACAGAACAGTTATTATTTTGTTGCATATATCTGTGGAAAATGTGTTTTTCTTGGGCGTTAATCTCTTATATTCCCGAAAAAGTGAGAGTTTTGATACACTTATGTTAGTTGCTTTTGACGACAAAGTCATTCCTGATCTCCTAGTCACATTGCTAAGTGGCATGATTGAGCAGTATGCAATACAATAGAACAAAAACAAAATGCTTGGCCAATTCATACCTAAGCTAGGTAATACAGATACATTCCAAGACTATTTAAAGCAACTGTTAACTGAAACAATCATCTTTCAATGGCAAGATGAGCCAATTATAGAAATACAAGAATTCAAACTTATTTTACCAACTTATAGAATTTTGTTCCCCAAATCTGTCTCCTTGACAGCTGGAACATACATTTTGTTACATTACATATGGTCAGTTGCAAGTTTCAAGAAGTCACTGTGAAATGGTGAGTGAAGGGCAGGAAAACTGACATAAAAATGTTTAGTTGTTAAGTATGCACCTTAAGAGACACAGCTCACTTCTGTTTCCCTTTTCCTTCACAAATCTCAGGAAAAACATGAATCCTCTATGAACCAGCTTAAGGTCATTGTTCAAGGTGTACTCCTCACGCATCTTTCGCTCATAGTAGCCAAACAAAACTGTTTCCCTATTGACATAAGCAAAATCATTGGCTTTGTTCACAATTCTGTACCACCAATCGTTTCCAAACAAAATGTCTGGGCCATGGACATCGTTGAACCTGAACTCATGTCTCACATAACTGGACACTGATGACACTTTTTGAGCAATATCAGTGAGTGAGGTGGTCACATCTGGTGAGGTTATTGGTATCCGTATTACAACACGAGAATCTATCCCTCTGGAAACAGTGAGATTGTCCCTCACGGAGGACAAGACATTGAACAGAAAAACATCCTTTGGGTCATTGCTCATAAGAGATGACCTAGTTACAGTGGCAGATGCCTTCACCCACTGGTCAAACTTACTGGAAAACCCTACATAGTGAACTTTGACCAGATCAGTTCCATCTGCATCTGTTTTAGACTCAATAATCTTCACGTCAAAAAGCTGTGAACTTCTCCAGCCTTTCTCCTTCGGTGTACTTGGGTTCGGCAGCCTAAATGATGGTCCAGTGTTCAGTCTAGAGTAATCTAGAGCTTGTTTCAACCTCAACGTTGGTGGCATTCTGGCTGACAAAGGAAGATCATCATATAAATTATTTGAAAACCATTTGAATTTCATGAACAAGGGGATTAACTTGCATTTTACTTTTGTTTTTCATATTGGAAGGTTTGTCTCTACTATTTTCGGAGAATAATATTGTTAAATATTAAACATAAAAAATCATTCAATAACGTGGTAGGTACAAAACATGTGTCACTTTGGTCATTGCAAGAAACAGAGACATGCCTGTAAACACAGACCTTGTCATTGAGCTCGGAAGACGAGGTGCATGGGTTTCATTTAAGACTGAACATAACGTGTTCACAGCAATACAGTTTACTCCTCAGAATAGAGACGTTCCTTTCTTATTGATCCCTTTTTGTCATTTGTTCAAATTGTGTGTATATATAAAGTAATCAGGAGCAAGCATTTTAGTATTCAATGTGTATTCACTACATGCAACACTACATGTAACAATTGGCTTCAGCCGATATAACTAGCACTAGGCTACAATTTTTTCAATGTGCATATAAAGTGTGTACTGGTTTTTGTTCTCTCTTCTTCCCCAACTTTTTACCTTTTAACTCAAAAATAGGACTAAACAAAAAGTAATTTGAATTTTCCAGAACATTTATTAGTAGTACCTTGTGTTCTTTGTTAAAATAAACATACAAAGTACATTTGTGTCTCGATATGAGATTTAAAAAATTATTTTCTGAATATTTTACCTCAAAATAGACTTCACATAACATGATTTGACTTTTGTGTTGACCTTGTGTTCTCTTTGTGAAAATTACATAAAATGGTAAATTTGTGTCTCAATATATGTGATTTTAAAAATTATTCACTGAAAATGTCAATTGTTCAACTTTTTTACCTGAAAAATAGGACATAGATTTATGTTACAGCAAACAGGTTAAAATATTTCAAGGGAGGACTTTTTAGTACTCATTAGTTATAACTTACATATGTTGAAAACACTCAAATCATTTCTGTACCAATTTCTTTTGAGGTTTTGTCATATTTTGACTGGACTATATATGCCCAACACACCACTTGGATTTCTAACAACAATGTAAACACATGAGAGTTATCGTCCCTGTCTAAACCTTCGTCACCCACGGCATTGTCACAGTGGAATAACCCAAGTTCGACTCGATACTTGTACTTGTCATATTTCTTCGCACAAGTCAGTAAATCACGTTTTGCATATATGTAGTTGTACCTTGATATGTTATGTACAAGTATATACAGAAATGCGATCAAAATCAACTCACCAAATGTTGTGAAGGCAGATAATAAAACTCCGTCGCTCTTCCTTCCAACCTTGCCTCGGGTGCTGGATCCCAAAACGAGGCTCGTCGAAATGTATGTTAACTGAATGTGGACTGGGTGGTATAATTCAAAATTGAAATACGGCGGGCATTTTACACCAATCGCAGTGATTTTTGCAAAGAGCTCTCAGTGTTGACAGGAAAAGATAACTACGGTTTAACCAGCTATCTGGCCGATAAAGAAACCCATTTTACGAGTGCTTCTTGAAACCCCTCCTTATAACGTACATGCAGAAATGTACCTTTGATTTATATCAAAGTACGGTGAAAATACAACTTTGATTTAACAAGTGCCCCAAGATATCATTTTAAACAACCCTGATTTATATAATTCAGTTTTAACCAAATCAACACAATCAGTACAGGGCAGCGTATGGTCGAGAAAAATAGTGATCTCTAAGAAAGTAGGTCAAACCATTACACATAGTACTGCGCTTAATGAGATTTATGTTTTGGTATGGTCCATTCTAATCCCGACCTGTCCATTAAACTGAGCCCTCACACCGCCCAGACTATGTCTATAACACTCACTATAGCAGCACCACACTGTCCATTAAACTGAGTCCTCACACTGCCCAGACTGTCTATAACACTCGCTATAGCGGCACCACACTGTCCATTAAACTGAGCCCTCACACTGCCCAGACTATGTCTATAACACTCACTATAGCGGCACCACACTGTCCATTAAACTGAGCCCTCACACTGCCCAGACTATGTCTATAACACTCACTATAGCGGCACCACACTGTCCATTAAACTGAGCCCTCACACTGCCCAGACTATGTCTATAACACTCACTATAGCGCACCACACTGTCCATTAAACTGAGCCCTCACACTGCCCAGACTATGTCTATAACACTCACTATAGCGGCACCACACTGTCCATTAAACTGAGCCCTCACACTGCCCAGACTATGTCTATAACACTCACTATAGCGGCACCACACTGTCCATTAAACTGAGCCCTCACACTGCCCAGACTATGTCTATAACACTCACTATAGCAGCACCACACTGTCCATTAAACTGAGCCCTCACACTGCCCAGATCTCTATCACTATAGCAGCACCACACTGTCCATTAAACTGAGCCCTCACACCGCCCAGACTATGTGCATACAGGACGCTCCCTACAGGAGTACCACTCTACCTGTCTATTAAACCCTACCCTTGAGCTGTCGAGATGCATACAGGACACTCACTACAGGAGTACCACTCCACCTGGACACAACTCACTATATGGACACAACTCACTATATGGACACAACTCTACCAGTCCATCAAACCCACAACACACTACCCAGTCAGTGTACAGGACACTCACTGTAGGGTCACCACACTACCTCTCCACTAAACCCAGCCAGTACACGACCCAGGCTGTGTGGTAGACTCACTATTGGAGTTACCACTCTACATTGTCCAGGTAATTTGGTACAAGTGGGGATAAGGACAGATCCTGGGGAATTTTTTTACTGTCACCATGGAGACAGGAAAGCCTATTAATCACAACAATATCTGTCTGTGTTATGGAAATCATGTCAAACTACGTAAATAAGCCTTACCCTTTCGAGGTAAAATACAATAATTGGTCTTTTCTAGCCCAATAGTTTCACTTAACACATGACCCAATATCAACCATGAACTATTCCATCTTATCTCTGTTCAGTAAACAGATGTAATTACTTCAAAATATTATCACAGGTGTAACAATCATTTATCAACCAAATAGAACACAATTCATCTTAAACACTGTTCTGACATGTTAATAAATGCTTGTTTACAATGTATATATGGTGTATACGAGGCAATATTGCCCCAGTAGAGTTCAGTGTATGGTAGCCTATTGCCAGCATGGTGAAACGCACATCCTTCTAGCCTGCGGCAAGACCTGCATGACAAGTGACTAACCAAGTGAATGACAGGCCAATAAGCATACCTATGTCAGTGTCAATCAGCTGGCATACAACACAATGTAGGTCAAGCAGCTATTGGTAATACAGCCTGATCTCTTCATAATGAAACATAAAATTATGCCATTAATTCTGTCAACTATGATTTAGGTTTACTGAATTATTACATTTATCCTTAATTGAAATATTTTATAAAATGAACTCAGCCTTCCAGCTTCTACATATCAGTACATCTTGTACTTAACAGTTACTTCTCTTGTCATTTCCAGTCACACAATAGGGATTCTTGGTGAGCATATCAGCCCCTAGCAAGCTGTGTTTGTTGTCTGATAGACTAAGAGTGAGGGTGTTTAGTTATACACCACTATTAGACATATTCCAGGAATATCATGGTGGGGAGACAACAGAAATAGGCTCTATCACTCTTTCTATCCATGTGGGAAATCGAACCCAGATTTCAGCATGGTGAATGCTACCCCACAATGCTACCCCACTAGGCTACCTCACTGCCCCTGATGGATTGGGGATCGGGATCAGTGACTAGGTTGACTGTGTGCCATTGGATCCTAATTGAATTGATGCTCATAGTATCAACCATTGGATTGCCTGGACCACACTGGAGTACTTACAGACCCCCATCATATAGCTGGGATATAGTTAAACCACAAACAAAACAAACATTTCTTTTCAGAAAACATCACATAGACAGAGCTACAGATAACGTTTTGGGTCATTGAGTTATGTACTCCCTTGTGTTCATCTCAATTGGGTATCCTAATTTTCCTTTGAGTAACGAAATATATTGTACTCACCTCAATCAAACTCATTTGGGTATTGTGCCAATTTCCATTAATTTTAAAAATATAATATAGTTTAAATGTTAGTGTTTGTGATTTACCTTTGATCTGTAATATGAGAAACGATAAGAAAGACTGCAGGTTGTCAAGTTCATGTCCTAAAATAGAACCTCTCAATATACGTTAGTTATTTTAACTATCCACCGGTACACAAGCTACGATTGGACATTTTTGTGTGTATGCATGTAAGATCACATTTATTGAGTATTTACAAAACTTCAAGCGTACTTGTACGCAATAGACTTAATAGGAATTGGGTTTTCACATAAATGTTTGCGTAATTTACGCAGATACGCAGCTTATCTGTACCTCTGACATACAATTTCATCTTCACAATTTCAACAAAATAGTTGATTATATGAGATTATCAAAACACCAACCATGCATAAAATCAAATTAACATATCCGTAAGCAATATTTGTTTTACACAACATGTTATAAATTCCTTGTTCAGAAGCAACCTTTGACCAACCATGCAACTTATGATAGAAATCAGCCTCTCTTTCATCTTACAGATAAGATCACCATAGCAACACCTTGGATCATATGTTGTTAGAATGTCCAGCATACTGTGACCATAACTGACCAGCGTAAGCTCCTCACACTATTAGTACAGCAGTGATTGATGACCTTCCCCTATTATCAATAGAGATCAAAGTCTAGCCCGAGGCTCCACACACAGGTATAGCTGATGGTGAATATAATATCACCTTACTACAATCCCCATTGTTGATGCTAATACCAAACAAGGAAACTCTGGAAACTAAAATAATTCCTTAATATCTACAATCTGATAACTGAAAGTGACAGGTTTTCAAGTAGGATTTCCTCTGACATTTTTCCACCTTTCTTCTTGTCACGAAGAGACATAAATCAGTCAAGTATGAAGAACGCTTGTCTTCCAAAAACACTTCACTATCTGTAAAAAGAGTACAAAAGTCTTCTATTTAAATACCACCTGATACAAAATATATGGTCCACACATAAATCATATGACATGACCCCAAGGTGTTTTCTCAATTACCCAAATACCAGGTGATATACAGTGCATAATACAAGGGAGGGTGAGACAAGACAACAGATATGAATAATTCTGATTTTCTTTCAACAATACCAAGAGATATGCTTGATTGGCATTTTAGAAGATGCTACTTGTTGAACATAAAGAATTTTCTGGATTTCTTATTCTTTTATTCTTTGATAGAACAGGTCCTGAAACGTATCAAAAAAGAATAAAAGAAGATGAAATCCAGAAAATTCTGGATGTTTAATACTTACAGAGGTTTCACATTTACTGAGCAATGTGAACTAGTTTCCTTCAATGTCATTTGAAAATTTGGATAAAAATATGCACCAAAAAACATGCAACCTTTTCTTATACAGGCATAACGGGCTCTTCTTGCACTAGATGTAGGTCTATCCCTTCCAACTCGTTTTTCACAATTCAATATGGTCAAAATTCACACACTAAAATAAACAAGTAGCAACTCGGCCCATGCTATAGTTCTAACCATTTCTTAAAAGTATCAACATGGTCAAACTTCACACACTAAAATACACAAGTAGCAACTTGGCCCATGCTAGAAGTCTAAACAGTTCTTAAAAGTATCAACATGGTCAAAATTCACACACTAAAATAAACAAGTAGCAACTTGGCCCATGCTATAATTCTAAACATTTCTAAAAGTATCAACATGGTCAAAATTCACACACTAAAATAGACAAGTACCAACTCGGCCCATGCTATAATTCTAAACATTTCTTAAAAGTATCAACATGGTCAAAATTCACACACTAAAATAGACAAGCAGCAACTTCACCAATGCTATAATAACCATGACAAGATGAAATCCTTCACTCCGTCACGGAGACAGGTGTGCATCACTTACCATGGTAGAGCAGTCTCCTATGTCTGTGTCAGCTATCAATGGCCATAGCATGGAGTGGGCAGAGATGGGATTATGACTGTGGCTATACATAACATAGGCTGGGACCTGTGGTTATGGCCAAGGCTCTTAGCAAGGAGATGGGTATCAGATGTCATTGGTCAGCCCCGGGTGACACAGAGGGCATTGGTCAGGGACATCTTGTCACATATCACCTGGTAGTCATGGAGATGGAGGGGGTGAGGGGGGTCAGGTGAGTTGGACAGGGAGGGGGAGAAGTGGAGGATCGTGGGTGGGTGATGTGTGCAGAGTATGGAGGGTATGTGAGTTGGGCATGAGAAATAGGAAGGGTGGGCTTGTTAAGTAGGAAGAGTCGGACATGTGCATTAGGGAGGGTTGGGTTTGTTGAGTAGGTGAGGTGAGGTGAAATTGGGTTTTATGTTGTGCTTAAGGATATTTCGTTGTTGAGTAGGAAAGGTGAGACATTGAATTAGGGAAGGTGGGCTTTTAGTAGGGGAGGTGGTTCTATTGAGTTAGGAGGGTGGGACATAATGACAACAGAGGGTTGGACTTGAGGAGAAAAGATGTTGCAGTGGGGCATGTGGATTAGGGAGGGTTGGACACTGGATTAGGGAGGGTTTTTAGTAGGGGAGGTGAGTGTATTGAGTTGTGAGGTGGGACATGATGATAACAGAGGGTGGAGTAAATGTGTTGGGGTGGGCCATGTGGAGCAGGGAGGGTTGGACTTGTGAAGTAAGGAGGGTGGGGCATTTGATACATGTAGGGTAGAAAAAA